TTACTGCAAATTGCTTAAACGGAAACTTCAATAATTACATCTTCCACATACAAGGACATCTGAGTATAGGTTCTGTTTAACAGATTATCATCATAATAATTGTATTTGAGAGAAACAAGAATGAGGCTAGATGATTTTGCGTTTAAGTTTATTTAGTTGGCAGTTTTATTATAATATCATACATACATTGCCAAAGTTTGTAAAGGTATGGATGTTAGTGATAAGTTTACGCGAAGCGATTTTGATAAATACATTATCCCAAGACGTTATTAAAAATGCAACCATGCTCTTGAACTTACTACAATCAATGCTATAACAGGACAAGAATTTGACAGTTACGTAAAATTATTTTTTGCAAACACCACGTAATAAATAACTTCTTCGTTCCACTTTTAAAGTTATGTCTGTAGTTCACGCGATTATACACATTCATTTTTAACTTAGAATTCAGATCTTAAATTTAGATATTTTTGAATGATATTAATATGCCGCTTCGCTTTGTTTTAATAGATAGTTTGACTATCGTTTAAATTTTTTATAATATTAGTTAAACTTATTTGAAAATTACTTTTTTTACGCGTTTTAAACCGTTACTGTTTTATTTAAATGAGTAGGTACTACTCGCGTAAACTTCAGACAGTATTTGACTATCGTTGCTCACCCATTAAAAGGCAGGAATGTACTTACATACCTAAACCTTCCTAAATCAACTTTGATGGGACGAACGTTTGCCTACTTTTATTGTCAGTGTGTAGCCAGCTATTTTAAAAGATCGGAGACTTCCAAAAGTCTACGTCAAACAATTTACATAGGTAAACATCGTAATACCGTAATATAATATTTAAAAAACCGATTGCAATACTTTTGCACATTCGTAATTGAATATTGGCTTAACCTTATGAAACGTGTATTCTCTTTGCTTTAGGATAACATAATCTGAATTTAGCGTTTGTTTTTTACGACAATTTACATATTTCGCAATGTTTTGTATGTCGGTCAAATTTTAATGTCAAGAAAATAGAAAACCCGGTTGTATTTTGTACGTGACTATAATCTTAAATGTTGTAATGTACTTGTCTCTAGTGGACATGCTAAGATTGCTGGTAGAAGTTTGAAAAAATGACACAACACGTTAATATCATGATAGAGGAGTATAGACAGTTCACTTGATCAATTGATCAGCCCCAATATAACATCTCAACAAGATACACTTATATTGGCTTTGGATATTCGGAAATCCACGGAATAAAACCGAAAACCGTTTCAGAAAAATTATAAAATTGATTAGAAACCGTTGATTATTAGCCATTTACATTACATTGATACCATTACCCCGTCAACTTACACATAATATACATTTATTTTCAGTAAAAGATTTTCCTGGGAACACTCAAAAGGGTATACCTTAATACAACCTCAAATGTAAACCTAGCCTTGTCAATCATCATTCACACTGAAACAGCCGTGACATTACAATGGTACAAACAGTGGGAATAAAAAAAATATACAGCTGATTTAAATTTCACACGACTTGTAAGATAACGTATGTGTTTACTTGCTTTATTATTGTACTTTGGTTCATTAACTTGTGTGATAATTTTTACAACTTGCGGAATAATTAGATACATTTTTATTTCAATAATTTTTGTTTCTAATTAGCCACATTCACATTATAACGAGGACTGATGGCAATAGCTAAATTACTCGGCTGAAGATCTTGAAAACGTTGTCTATTTGTTATTTACTATTACATAAATACACGTACATAGACATATAACAAATAAACAAACGACGTGAGTTCTAAATTATAGAGAATGAACTAAGAAACATGATATATATAATACCTTAGTGGGCAGTTCACAGATCATAGACAAAAAAGACACATGATATAGAAAATGTAAAAATCACAATAGTGAAAGTAGGTCACTCACAAACGGTTATTAGAAAAACCTTGACAAACCTGAACGAAAAAAGAATTTCACTTAAGTATATTTTACTTAGGTCTAATTTGTGGTTTTATTTAGTGTTTCTTCCGTAAAGATGCTCTTTATCTATCTGCCAAAAACAAACAATTGCCGCCATTTTGACAAGTTTTTTAATACCATTTGTAACTGGCAGTCAAATTTTTAGATTTTTTTTGGGAAGGTAGTATTCTTCAAAACTATACTTTTCCAATATCTACAAACTTAAGGCTTCACCTATTAGATACGATTAAATAATTATTTGCCAAATATCCAAAGCCGAAATGTCTTATCTATCTTCGTGTAACATAAAAAATACAATTAATTATTATAACATAATGAATGACCAAGATCTTTAACAAGAATTACAATGAAACCGCATTACTTGGCTGCAATAGTGTACATTGCGGTTGTCGTACAATAAACAGATTTAAGTTTTGTTATATTTTGAGGTTGAACAGAAATGCTTTGACCTCTATTCACATAAGCCTTGAGCTTGGTAATTATATTATACAGGTGACACGAACGACAGGGTAAACTCCAGAACACGAGATTCAATCTCGGTCCAAGGTTTAAAACATATAGATACCTTATACCAAAACATATATCTATACTAATATATAAAGCTGAAGAGTTTATTTGTTTGTTTGAACGCGCTAATCTCAGGAAGTACGAGTTCGTATTGAAAAACTATTTTTGTGTTGGTTAGAGCATTTATCGAGGAAGGTTATAGGCGATGGGACTAATAGGAGCGAAGATACAGCGAGATATGTGAACAAAACGGGGGAAATTTTTCATCTCTGTAGGTTTCAGATGCGTACGCTGCGAAAACCGTTCAAGATGCCTAAAAATTGTGTATGAAAGAATGATTCCCCTATAAATAATCTAAAAAAAATCCGCAACTCCATTTGTCTATCTTGTAAGATTAACTTGCAAGAAAGACGGGAAGGGACGCGTATGACGTTGTGTCTAACAACTTAAGTTTATAAAGATGACGGGGTTTACAAAAACTTATTTGGATGCCCAAAATAACGATTCTCGCGGACGAAGTCGCTGGCACTGCTAGTGTCGATATAATATCTAGTACCTAGTAGTAGGTTTCAAGTGTTTTAAATTATACCAGATGTAGAATTATTCGCCTCTTTAGCTATATGGTTAAACGTGTTGCCTAGCATTGCGTTAAGTGTTCCGGGTTCACGAAATCACAAAACAAAAGATAAGATAAGCAGGGCACAGAAGTCTGACCAACTACTTGCTGTAAATAAAACCGCTCAGTGAAACGGACACAGAATTTCACTTTTTACACACTAGAATCTAGATAGAGGATTGTACTTATAATTTTCTTTGGTCTATCTCAAGAATCTAGATTATACATGTCTACCCAAGAATCAGGTAGGTCCTTGTTTAGCAAACCGAGACTGCGCTTACTTCATGACGTGCAATTTTGCTTCATATTATCAGATTACCTGTAACGTTACAAAATGAATATGCCCGTATATGTTACACTAGCTGTGTCAGCGACTTCGTCCATGTAGAATAGTCGTTTTGGGCATCGAAATTTGTATTTAATAACCTCCGATTCAACACTACGAATTTAAGCTGTTACCTAGATATATACTTAGTGAACATTTTTTTAGATCATTAAAACAGGAATCATTCTTTCTAACATATTTTTGATAGTTGTAGCCTCGGAAACCCACAATGATGAATAATTTTCCTCGCGTTATCCTAATTTCCTGATGTTTCTTCGCTCTTTACTCACAGCGCGATGGTTTATACGGCATAGCCTTCCTTAATGAATGCTCTCACCAACACAGGAGGATTTTTTTTTTCAATTCAAACGCTCAGACAAACAAATTCGTCAGCTTTATATATTAGTATAGATTATAGAGGGCTAGTTAAACAAATTAATTTAGCTAAACATAACACTATTGACTATATGTAAATACTGTCAGTATAAAAAAAGTTGAGTTTTTTTTTTCAATAATATTTCGTAATTATTTATTTATAACTTAAATTAAAATGTATGTAGGTTTAAAAAAATTGTCGTCCCTGGCGGGATTCGAACCGACATAAATAGTGATCCACAGAGCACGAATGCCTTCACATGTGAACTTGTACTTGTTGTAATATAAGGTTTATTAGTATTGGCCCAGTTCTTTAAATGCTATTTAGTGAAACATATGACAATCAATGCTTTGCTTAATAAACAAAAAATATATTTTTCTTATTTGACAAGGTCTTCATCCATGTAAGATTGTTAATTCTTTTTTATTATGTAATTATGACAGTTCAACTCCTGACAGTATGTTTATAGCAAAGTATCAATAAACACTTGGCCTTTTTTTTGCCCTGGAACTTTGTACAAGGATAATTGAGTTACAACTTTATTGTCCAGTCTAAAATAACAACTAATAGCTAAGTTATCAAAAATAAGAGAGATTTAATTTATTTATTTTTATTTAATTTATTACATTATGTATCTATTTAAAACTTAACATAAGTACAATATTAAATTTGTAGTAGATGTGACAAACTGAATCAACCTTAAATTAAACATAAAACACCATATACCTAATTAAAATTTAACAGGCAGTTTTTATTACGTATGGAATTTGTCTTGAATAAAAGATTCTATTCATATAAAATAAGACTGACAACTATAGCCAGAACGTTTTGCTTTGTTTATATTTATATTATCTTTGGAATTAAAAGGGGATTCTTAAATTTGTTACCTGTAATACTTAAATGCATATTAGAATTGAATTGGATGGTAAAATCTTGACCAATGTCTATAATAGACGCCGTGCTATCCTGCTATTCTTTAGGGTCACAGTACTTTATAAAAATAACTAATCATTGGAAGTTATTTGGGCACTTAAAATTAATATACTGGTTTTAACATCAATCTGAACAGATAGAACCGGAATATCTTGAACCAGTGTATAAATTACTATCAAAAATTGACTGCCCATATCAAATTGAGGCAATCTGACCTCTTGTTGTATGGATCAGTTAGCACAAAACAGTGTAGAAATGTCATTCTTGATTACTTTCATCACTCTCCTCACTGCTTTCTTCGCTACTGCTCTCTTCGCTTGAGTCATCTGAATTAGCTTTTGCCTTTCGAGCCATTAACTCCTTAAATTGTTTAACTGTAATCTTTCTAGGTATTATTTCTCTCAAGAAATCTAAACTGTCATCCTCTTGCACCACTTCTGCTATGTGTTTGTATTCTAGCAAGTTGTTCTTACTGTTCTTGAATGCCCGTTTTGCTAAGTCTAGTATGAATAATTCCTGTATTTAAAAATTTGTTAATTAGAATCAGGAAAATAAAATAAAAAAAGAACTTAGTTTTTATTATTATTTAGCCAAATCATTTAATTAAAAACTGAAAGGTTACAAACATTTAATACAGTAATAATTCGAAGATAAATAAATATTAGGCAGTGGTTCAGCTTTTTATTTTCCTCGGTAGAAAGACTTTAGCAGACTTATTAGTCTATAGATATAGTATTCTATTGAATGGGGCAAAACTTCATAAAAGGTATTTTGAAGTAATCATTAGTTTTACAATTCAATACAACTTACAGTAACTTTGGTAACTAAATACAGAGATTCGGCACCAACCGCGTCAACTTCTGGAGAACTTTTCATTATGGTTTTCACTCTTGATAGCGGTAGATGCAATTCTTTTTCGGGTTTGGGTGTAGCCATTGTAATGTGGAGTATATTTTTAAAGATAAAGTTATTGTAAACCGGCGGGTATGAAAAATTTAAACAACAACTATTATTGTTTCAATGCTTTAATGACATTGACAGAAGTTATCAAATTATTTGTAAAATATCATACGATCAATGTAATACATAATTATATATAAGGATTTTAAGAACCAAACAAAGGTTTTGATTGTTATTATTGGTTGTAATTTGGAATAAAAAGAAAATAAGATGTCTAATTGTTTTCTCCTTTTTTTTTTGCCTTAAACTAATACTAGTAGTATGCTAACATGTCTACTAGATGGCGTTACTTACAATCAATAGCGTTTTATTTGCTGGATAAGGATAAGATAATATTTCTATTGACCAATTAAGCTACTGCACATTGCCAGGTTTGTTTTAAGAGGCTACATATTATTTCATTTATTTGCTTTGACTATTAAAACTAAAATCTTCTTAAGAGTATATTTCCAAAAGAAGTTGTAATTATTATCTTATTTACTGATAGGACTCCAGAGAATTATTGTCTATGAATGAACCTAAATGAATGAAAGCTTTAAACGAATAGGATGTTATCAATAAAAGGCATCATTGGACTTAACGCTAGCTGTCTTTAATTTTCCATTTCCTTATAGAAAATACTTTAAGAAAAAACAGTATAGGGGCCGCCTGCGCGCCCGGTCGCCCGCTAGGGGCGCCGCTGACTAGTGTCGCTCGGCAACCCGGTTCAATACTTATGAAAACGAATACAAAAGAATACTGATAGCGAGATCGGTTTACAGGGATTTCTCGATTTTGATCAGTTCAGCGATGCCGTCGTACATCTCCTTGACAGCGTCGTATTCGGTGAGACCCATGCGCCTCTTGTTGGAAATGTCGTACACTCCGCCCTCGGCCTCAGTGTGCTCACCGCGAGTTCCACGCACCTGCAAGTGGTACTTAGACGCCACCTCCTCTAGCTTGGCCTTGTCGGCTGCCAACTTGGGCAGCTTAATGTGCACGGAGGCACGTACGGTTGTTCCCAAGTTGGTTGGGCAGAAAGTCAAGAAACCAAGACGGTCATTGTGCGAGAATGGAATCCTCTTCTCAATATCATTGACAGCAGTGACCAATCTCTTGTACACTTGCTTCAGGTCACCACCCATCTGCATGGAGATGATACGGAGATGGTCCTCTTCATTGCACCAGATCAAGAAAGTCTTGTTCTCATTGTGGTAGATACCACGTCCAGTGGGCCAGAAGCGGCAAGCATTGGCGGCCTGGAGGAACCGGTCACCCTCCTTGAAGAGGAAGTGGTCATCAATCAGCTTCTGTTGAACCTCCTTTGACATTCCAGTAAGTGGGTAAAAGGTGCCCTTGAGTTCACCTTCAAGGCCAGAGAGGGTGGAGGAGACTTTGTCTTCCATCTCCTTGTACTGACCTTCGGTTAGGCAGGGGTTGAAGGGGTAGCCCTCCATGGAACGTCCACAACGGACACGGGTGGAAACAATGAATTCACTACCAGGGTCAAGGTTTCCAAGGGTCTCTACATCACCCCAGTTCTTAGGTGGGTGCTTGTCAGTCTTTTTGAAGCCATTGTGGTAGTCTTCAATGATGGGGTCAAACAGATCAGCAAAAACTGTGTATGACTCAGCATCTGGGGCATAGATTCCAACACCGGAGTCTAAGTTCTCAATACCTAAAATAATGAAAAAAGTATGGTTATTGTCTTATTGTATCGACAATTTTCTATTACAAAGTTAATTTAATATAAGGATTTTTTTTGTCTTTTCAATGTTTTCATTTATGTAACATTATTTTAATATAAATTGTTAAATTTACTTATTAAGTGGACTATGAAAAAGGTTTAAAGAAGTAATCTTTCTTATCAGATTAGGAACGATTGATAAATAGGAAATCTAATCAAGTATTCATACATACAAGTATTTCATACTTTAAGAATTTTCTGGCAATTTGGCAATAAATTTATTCATATATTAAAAAAGGAAAAAAATAAATTTACAATTGAAAATATGTAAACTTCTTAAAGAACTATTGAGAATAAAAGAACTTAGTAAGTAGTAGTTAGTGCAAATTATGCTTTGTAATCCATTTGTGCAATGTAACAAAACAAATCTTAGGGCTGACCTGACTGGATGCAATCCAATAGTGTGGATCCGAAAGATGTCTTCTTGTTCTTTAGAGCGTCGAAGACTTCTTTGGTGAGGTACTTCTTCAGCAGAGACTTGGAGTCAGATGCCTGGAGCTTGCTGAAGCCAGCCTCCAGCTTTTCCATAGTTGCGGCGTCTACCATTGCTGCTGCTTTTCTGTAAAAACAAATTAGCTATGTTAAAGCAGAATTAACGAAATTAAGTCTTTGTAATGATTCCAACTAACGCTTTTAAGGCAGCACACGTCGCTCTTGTGCACATTTTGACTATTATCCAATTAGAAAGTAAGGTTTTAAACAATTTTTATAATGTTTTCAAACGAATCCGCATCAACTTGCTTGAATAATACAAAAGAAAAATCGCGTGGATTTTATTTTATCCGTTAACTTGCCCGGCGAAATGTGACATTAGTTTACTTTTAAATTCTTAAAAAAAAATAGTGATGTGCTCACGCGAAACTCGTACGTCGTAATGTAAGTCGCATTTAAACGTTACTTTGAATTTATTAAATATCTTACAATATATTATAAATTCACATACTCTTAAAATAAAAATAAGTAATGGAGAGTGTTATTATTAAGAATTTGTTGTTTAAAGTATACACACCGTCTGATGAGGTAATAGGCAAGAACAGCACCACCACAAACCACAATAGGAATGGTGACTTTTATTTTGTAATTCATGGTGATCACCTGGTTCTAAGTCTAGTATGAAATGCGGAGGGGCTATAACTAGGGGAATTATGAATTGTCACTCTCGGAGTGCTGGCGGTATAATAACTCTTCGAACACACCCAAGTGGAGCTTAAAATTTCACAGAATTACGTAATTCACACAGAGGTCGCTCTGGCTGCGCGCAAGTCGTACGTATTAGTCACCTTACTGCGCACCGGTACTGCTTGGATGCGCGCAGCTAGCCGGCAACCTCCCACTCATTCTTCGTCGACTATCAAATTCTCGAGTTTCTAATTACTAAATGCAATTTCATTTGAGTAGTAGTAAACTTTTAAGAATCTTCAAATTACAATCATGCTATTGTGCTGCATGAAATTCCATTACATCGGACACTTAATTCCACCACATAATACATTGTACCTACCTATATACTATACGTATTAATCTTATATTTTGCCAACAAGAACATTATATTTACACGATCGTATCAAATTACTGTATAATATGATACAGAGCATCAAATTGGATTCAAAGAATTTTTGTGCAAAGCTTGTGTAGTTTAAAACGAACAATTACTCCAACCAATTTATGCATAACCTATCTTAGATAAATCTCAAGTAAATAACTAAAACTATAGAATTTTACGAATTAAAATAGCTTAAATAATATACGTGTAGGGCAAATTACACTGGGAACATCATCTCTCTCCTAGTATTTTAAGTAATAAACTCCTATGTTCTTGGTAAAGTTCTGTATAAAGAATTAAGTATAATTCATATTAAATTGCTACTTTTTTCGAGTCTCTCTATCTTACATAGATATTCAAAACGAAATGTATTTCTGACAGAAAAAGTATGCCGGCCGGAGATACGCACCCATCGGATTCATCTGCCGGTTTGTTTTCTTTATTTTCTTTCGTTGCACAGCCACCCATTTTCACAAAATTGTATACTATAAATCTAGCCGCTAAACATGCACTAAATCACTAAAATCTACAGCAAATAAATAAAATTAACGCGGGATTCTAAATGCAATGATGGAATGATATATTTTTGTCCAAATGAATGTATCTGTGTAGGGAGCGGCAAGGGCGAGGGGTGTCCCGATCGATTCCCGGCTCTAGCACGCACGCGGCTCTCACTTCCCGCCCTTTAGGATCGGCTTCAAAACTTTTCGGAGGGAACCTACCGCTCGTCAATGCCACTAGTTACCTTCGCGTAATATGTTTGAATGCAGCACAAACTTTTTAAAACTCGATAGTCACGTTATCGGCATCGAAACACTTAAAATTATCGTTGCACATATTTAGAACGGTTTAAATTGTCACTCGGTTATTGATATCGGAAACTTTGAGATAGTGCAGCCGTGGCTTAGAGATTGAGAGGCGGTAGGATTAAATATAAATGGTCTACCGCTTACCTTGCACTTGTACAACCGTCAGAGTCGACTGCTAGGTGTAGAATGGTTGGTGCGGCAATGCGCTGAACGTTAAGCCTATTGCCTCCCGCTGCCCGCGCTAGCCCTGCCACTGCTGGCCTTGGCCTTGCTGAGATGCACAATGAGTGCTTATTGCAGACCGACCATTTTTTAATCACGATCCGTGGATTTGATAAACAACGCCTTAATAAACTAATACTACGCATCGTCAAGTTATCGATGGATTAGTTTAAGAAGATAAAGTATAAAAATATTTCGTTGCTAGCTATTTTTCGTGTTACATAAGACAAGACAAACTTTCAAATCTTAACGTTTGTAGATTTTTATTCATATGAATACTGAAATTGAGGAATGAGAATATGTATAATATATATTTTACAATTTTACCAACAACGATTATTTTCGTTGGCAGGATCGTATATGAAGTTGTGGGACATCACTAAAATGTTTTCATCAACAATTAAAAACAAAAATGGCGCTATTGTCGGACTCCGACCGTCTCAAAAGAACTATTTTATAAAGATGTCGAAAGAAAACAGTTATCTATGGTTATTATATAAAAATCTACAATAAAATATAAAAATAAGATTTTTATACTAAAAGTGTCATTCAGAAAACTATTTTTAGTAAAGAAATTATAAAAATAAGTAGGTAAAGTTCTTTTAGACTTATTCAAAATGAAGGCAGGCCTTTGTTAAAATGTTTGTTTCTACAGAATTATCTTGTGCGCGGGAAACATATTGTTATGTTAGAAGGTACTTAATTATTTAAAAGTTAAAAAAATAGAATATTGTATTATTGTCCTATTAGAGGCGTTTTTTGTAATTAACGAGGAACCAAAATTTTCCTCACATCTATTCATAAATCCAAGCTGTCCAATATGAAACGTTAAAAAAGTTTTGGCTTTTGAAGCTTCTGGAAGACCTTGGCAATGACAGAGGCCCGAGACGTTAGCTGTGGCCTTGCATAACTGTATTTTGTGACGCGTGAAAATAAAATTGGATTTAGCAACGCCATTTTGTTTTTGTCTTCGTGTGACTCTCAGTACGAAGCGTTAAGGTTTTTAGTTTCAAAGTATTTTTATAGTCAGGTCTACAACGATATTTTAAAATGATTTAAAGCCAATAATAGTTATAAATAACATTTTGAAATTTTCGAACTGTTGGAGTAAAAAAGCTAAAATGTAAAAATATAACTTTTCTAGTTATATTTTTACCTCCAGGTCACTTCGGATGAACCATATAAGTGTGGATTAGCGAATGGATTTCTGGGTTTGAATTCTGGAAATAAAATTCGTAACTCAGGTGAAATTATTAATGACGTTGCTTGCTCGATATGTAATGGTCTCGAGTTATAGTAAAATCCAACCTTACGTTAATATTTTTAGAATATTACTTATCAGCTATATCAACAGCGTAACAAATTACCATAGATATTGATCGCATTCATAAAATCAGCCTATAAACGAGCCTCATTTAGAAAATTATTTCAACCTTCACCTTCCACAAGCTTGAGTCATGCAACGTTCTATTCTTCCAAAACGTTTGCATGAAAACCTTGCCCTATATTCCGAAATTTCCTTTCAATGTCAATGTTACGTGATCGAACTTTTTAGTAAAGAATTCTGTTTAAAAAAACAACAACTTACAACTTAAATCAGTTTCAATAGGACTTGACGTAATATAAATTGATGCTATAAGTCTGTCTCGTTTTAAGACTTTAACAATATGTTTATTGGAATAGATTTAAAAATAAACGTGTGAATAATATTATAGATTTATATTTACTCTGCAACCATGGAGTATGCGTGAATGGGCGTAGCTTACCCCCTAACATAATCTTAATTATTATTTTAAGAAACCTCCTTTTATTTATAAATTATAGCTTCTACCCACGACATGGTTCTTGAAATTTCATCTTTAAAGATTTAACTAACACAAATCATTAGGTGTTAGTTAATCTTTAAAATTTTTTAATTCGAACTAGTACTTAGTTCCTGAGATTAGCGCGTTAAAACAAACAGACGAACAATGTTTTCAGCTTTATAATATTATTATAGATATTATAATAACAACCATAGCGTATACATATAATATGTATATGTACATATATTGTATTGTTTTTCTATTTCTGTGAATTCGAATAAAACTTTAAAAATAAAAGTATAGAAAGCTTTTATGAACCCGACGGCCAAAATATTGAGTCAGTGAACTGTGGTATAGCTTGCCTCACGAAGGCCTAATACAAATTCGTAACGGTTAAGGTTAAGGATTTCCTCTATTAAAAGTCGCGTGAGGAAGGAAATCGTTTGAATATTCCTTAGAGCATCACAGTTTGGTTCTGGCTGATACCGACAGTACTGAGTTTAGTATATGAAAGGGACTACATGCAGGATTTCCAGTTTTCCAGTTCCATGTTATTCTATTTCTCTCTTCTTTTATTCTAATAGATATCTAACGCGAGCTTAACTCTAATAAATATAAATTATAAACCCCATGGGGCCGACTTATTTCTGTGTCAGTTTTACTGCTCAACTAAAAGTACAAGTACTTACAAGTTTTAATTTTAAAGATTTATTTTTGTTTGTTCAAGTAATTATCTAAAACGACTGAATCGCTTACTTTCATAGATAGTATGAAAACCGCGACTAAATGTTAACCCTTCAACTTATCTCTCATTTGACTCACCGATTCGCAAGAATCACCAGTTGACACACAAGATAGCCGATAGCGATCGTAAGGTATATTCTCAGGTACCTGACACTCGATAACACCATCGTGGAATATTCTAGAAGTGCTGTCCAAATGTCCGATAGAGCTGATAACACGATATCAGTGTTGGCTTTATTGATAACGATAATCATCAAATTTGCCGATTCTAAATCCTATTTGCTAATTGTACGCTTTAATAATAAGTAAAATTCGCATTTTCCTATATAAAACTGTAACTCATAGTGAGGCCTTTGCCTTACGTTGCCTGGGTTCGAATCCCAAAAAGGTGAGTGGTATGGTTAGATAGCTGTACTTACCGTTATACAGTTGATGAGTGAAGTAATACAGAAATTTATCAGTTCCATGTCCTACGTAAAGAAAGTATGATTTTTCAATTCATATCTAAATAAATAATATGTAAGACAATGTTAATAAAGTGGGTACATTTAAGTATGTCCAAGTCTATGGTATTCTATTTTTATTTCTGTTTGTAAGTTGTGATTCAGAAAAATTGGTTAGGTTAGGTTACTTTAAACATGATCTTATTAAGAATAATGTGAATTCTTTTCATAGATAGCTTCTCCTTATTCAATTATATCTTGGAAAATTGTAATAACACCAATTACAAGGAAAACATTTTGGCTAATTTTTAGGTGTAACATGAATGACTAGTATTACTCTGCAAAATGACACGTAGGCAGTCTAAACCATATTTTTAGTTTTCCTCTTAAATGTTTTCTTACTCAGACTTAAATGGAATTAAAAGTCATCATGAGACACCAAATCATAAATGTTTCCTACTGAATTCCAAGAGATTTATGGACTAACAAATTTGTTTTTATTTTTGCTGACCCAACATAACTTGAATTCTTAATTTAATATTTATTTAACTATACAACGTTCATACAAATTCTTTATTTACCATGATTTATATTACCTATTAAAAAAATTGTTTAGTTAGTCTTATGATGTACGAATTACATTTGTTTATGTTCACAATATAATGATAATAAGCTGAACTGATACTGAATGATCTAATTCCAAGTTATTCAGCGATACTGAAAGAATTTGACTGAGATAAAATTTTATGACAAGACCCCCTTATACTGTGAGCATGTACGACTTAGCGTTTACATTAATTAGTAATCGGCAATTTTATAATGATGATTCACAAAAAAAATCCTGCCTATAACTGCTTCTTTGACTCAGTGGTCCATATTTTGCTGTGCAACCCCACAATCCTTCGCCATGATGAGTAGAAAGATAGCCAAGTAACAGAAGTGTCATTCTTATCTACATTATTTTAATGGAAAAAGTTTGGTTGAATAAATATATATATTTAAAAAGTAGAAGATGCCATTGTCATTATTTCACCTTCAAACAGCTTGAACGATTTCGATAAAAATTGGCGAACCTAAATGTATTAGAATTTCATCAAATATATGGTAATTTTCCCTGACAACAAAATAATTCAAATAATATTTATTTTCAAACAGTACAGGGTAACCGAAGAACCAATTTCACAAAGAAATTATGTCGTGGACGAGGAAAATGTTAAATTTCGTTAAATTAAAAACTTTCACTTAAATTGTTAATAGACCTTTGATCGATTTTATTATTTCGAAGTGGAATTTGATCTTTATTTACAAATGAAACAAAGTAAAGCGACGTCGCGCCGGCATGGGCGAGGGAAGGCAATTTGCAGCAATGCGAACATCCGGGCACTCCACCTACCATTGTGTATGAATCACTATTAAGCGCTCTTCCTAACATGAGAATTGCATAATTCCAGTCTCGTGATGTTGCTACGTCATTGTTTATTACCCGACTACGGAGAAAAGGGTAATGCTATTGACTTATATATTTGTTATGAACTTTGTTGTTCCTGTATACATATGCAAGAACAACATTAAATGACACATAATATTTGTAAATTTTTGGTAAGAGCAGTAAGCAGTTATTGTGGGTTAGTACCCCGACTTGTCTTACTTCTGTGTATAGTTCTCTCCAAACTTTTTGGCCGGGCTGAAGTTAGCGCGACCGCCATCTTGAGCATGGTACTGTCAATTTTAAGCAAAATTTCGAGTCCTCCCGGACCCACGCATCTCTTTGTCGCAACTGATACTTGCTTTTTACGTTCTGCGCAACCATCCGCGCTAACTTCAACCCGGCCATTAAGTTTGGTGAGCACTGTATGTCTTAATAACTGGTAGATTAAGCATGTTTCAAGTCTCTATATCTATGTGTGCTGCAGCCCCTCCAAATCGTTGAGTAGTTGTCTATTACTATTTCTGCCAACTAAGTTTCTAAGGTTCGTCGTTGTACCTATAATACAGTACAAACATAATAAACTATTAATCTTTAGTATACATTGGAAAGCTGTCAACTAGATGAATGAACAAGTTATTTCATAGTTTATTGCACAAATACAATCGATAAAAAGTATTATTCGCTTCAAACAACTTTTATCGAGCACTTTCACACAGAAACTCGGTCAGTGGAAAACTTTTGATAAAATCGAACGATTACATTTTGTATAAAGGATTTTTTGTTAGGCTATTTTACAAAAACATGGGTTGAAACAATATTAAAAGTATTAAAATAGACTTATTTCGTTTAAAAGGACTCGACGCAAATTGTCTTAATATTGATCCGTTTTATTGATAGGCCTTGGTTTTACCAGCAATTTGCTTCAATCAGTCTGTCATGCTACACTACGTACTTAGTTTAGTGATTCATTAATCTGATTCTATTCCATCAAACTATGTTTGATATACACAATAAATATACATACACAAACACCAATACGATACAGTTGTATTATATCAGTTGATATACATAATAGGCAATGAAAAACATTCATCGTATTAAATTAATATGATTTTTTCTAAAATAGTCACATGCATAATTTATATAGATACCGATAAGAAAATCATAAAGATATAACTCATTCGTGTAAAAATATATAAAAAAAGTTTTATTTCGTATGTTTTCCTTCGAAGGTAATATGGATGCAAGATTTAATCTTGATTTTCATAACAATTCGAGAATTGATATTATTGGAAATTATTTAAAGGAAAGAGATTGTTTAGAGCTTGTAAGACTTTTGGGCAATAGCAGTCCACGATACTGAATTAAATGTAATAAAAATTCTTCTGCATAGCTGAAAAAATACAGGTAAAGTAAACGAATCAGTTGATGCAATAAAAGTGTATTTAGACTGTATAGCAGCCATTACTGTCTTATAAATAAAGATTTGTTTGAGATTAACTTTTATTCGAATCCATTCTATGTATGCTTCTCCGTTTTTCAGAACATGTTTGTTTGTTGTCTGTAAGTTTGAATTTGTTTCACTAGAGTGATAAGGGCTGATTAAACAAATTCTCATTTACATGATTATAATTTTGTTTCAAAAAAATGGAATGTTATTTTCATTTAATAAATGTTGTAATTGTGTAATTAATTTTTGTCTTAGTTGTCTAATGAAAAACAGGAATTCAGTATTTTAATGTTTCCTTGGATGTTAAGATACTGTCTTTTAAAGTTTTAAAATTCAACTGGAGTTATACTTTCTTAGAATACAGACTATAGTTAATATTAGTTTTAATCTAATTTAGGTTTCAGTTGAATCGTTTTAATACTCTTACTTACTCGTTATCCTATTATCCAACCACTTAATAAAATGGCCTTGTGTTACCTCCTCGGATTACTTAGAAAATTGCTTGCAACTACCATAGGTGATAGTGGTAATAAAATTGTAGCTTAATAAATTTATAGAATTATTCCTAAAACGGTTTTCATAGGTAAGACCGGTTCCTAAGTGAGGCGTTACTTTTAGGTTTTTGTTTTTATTTAAAGGAAAACTTAGCGTAAGCTTATTATGTCTTTCCTCGGGATTTATATCCAGTGTCTCTTACAATTTTTAATTGTAACTGTAACTGACGGTGTACACCATTGCCACAGTAATTAAAATATTCCCTAAGTATTAATATGGTGTACTTAACGTGCGAACCTAATATGGAGTCCATGAATCATGGGGTCAATGACCTCAACCGGTTGCCAACTTGCATTCACTGCTATGGCCAAAATAAGATATCTCTATTTATATCGACGTTGCTACGGAGAAATGGAAAGTGATGCGCCTGCGCTTCTCTTAGCAAATATAGTTTGATTTTGATGATACGATGAGTTGTGTGTCAGCCACAGGTAAGTTTGGGATTATTTAGATTCAAATGTTTGTTTGTATTTTAAAAAGATTTGAAATTTAAATCTATCACTACAAACTACCAAAAAATATGGTCGTTGTAACTCACTCTACAAGTAAGTTTAATGTAAAATAATAAAAAAACGACAAATTCTAAAACAAAATACAGATACCTAAAGACAATTCAACAGAGACAATAATAATTAAATAATAAGTATGTAGAACCCTCCGACTATGACCGCCTCTGTAGTATTGCCTAGCATTGTGTTAAGCGCGAGATGTCCTAGGGTCGAATCCCAGGGAAACAAAAAAAAATGTTTCGGTCTGGCAGGGCACAGAAGTCTCATCAAGTACTCGCCCATTAAAAGAACGAATCAGTGAAATGGACACAGAAATGTGTTCGCCCCATGACCCACGAGGGGGAAACGGGCTTTCCCTTGAAGTATGTAAAAACAATAATGGGTACAATAAACTTACAGGATTTTAAGGAGGAAAGAGCTTATGAGAACACTGCCTCAAAAACAAAGTTAAACTTTACCGATCTTGTAGATTTAAGGTCGGCGCTTGTGAGTTATACAATGTTACTTATTTTTAGAAAGAATGGAATAAATCATAGTATGTTTATGTTCCATTCGTTCATAGGGTTGGCGCAACAACTGTTTTCTGAAAATTATGATAATAGGAAATCGTTATTAGTAGAGTATTAAAACAATTTATGTAGTCTAAGATGAGAATCAATTTAATGTAATTTGCTTTCATCAAGCTGGATCTGAATGTGTTGTGTGGACCTATTACGTTAAACTTAACCCACTGTGCCCGCGACTTCGTCCGCGTAAAAAACCTTAGTTGGAAATCATATTATAAATTTTTGAAAACAATGTTTACAATTTATAGCTGTTACTCACGATATCGTCCCCGCCCCATCGTTATTAAAAGTAGTTAGACTTAGTTTTTTTTTAATTCGAACCAGTAGTTCCTGATATAAGCGAGTTACAATATACAAAGAAACTCTTTAGTCTACATAAAACTGAAAACAAAAAAAAGATCTTTTTTTTGACAATACGAAACATTTAACCATTCTAAGACTTCATTGATAATGTTTACTGTACATGTATTTATTAAGATGTATTAGGGGCAACCCTATGTTACCTAACCACACGTGCGTCAAAGCTTTCATTGAACAGAAACTGAAGTGTATCAGATAATTTGTTTACAACTGTTTTTTTGGAAAAATGTAACTAGTTTTATGTACCTTCAGTAATGGCCAGACTATGGATTTGCCCTTATGAAACTATCTATTTTAAATTGGTTACTCAATAAAACAATTTCAATCTTAAAATTTATTTCGTAAGTTATCACTATAAGAAATATGGCATTTTAAAAATATAACTCAGCCTATTCTCTCGACAATGTTTTCTACGAAGTTTACTCCTGCCTTTTGGTATATTTTGTGATATCATACAGGTCTGAAAAAATAACATCGGCCTGTTACTATTTGATATGTTGTTTGCTATAAAAGAAGATTTATGTCTATAGAGCTTACCCAATTAAGCATTCGTCTTTTACGCGCCAAGCATCTGAAACAAAGACAAATTTTATTTTATAATCCGAACAGATTTTATAATTAAAGAGAAAAAAAATCGTGTTAGTGATGTATTATGCTTATATGGAAGTGAATCTTGCTAAACTGTACTAATTAAATAAGCTGATCTGTCACCAAAACGATTCTAAAATTTTTTGTTGCGCATTTATCCGCTACACTTTGAAGTCAAAATAAAGAAATGTATAAAAAAATCTCCTTTCATTCGATTGATCCATTAAAGTGGTCTCATTTGTGATAAATCAATCAATAAGCATCAAAAGTCTCGTACCATGCTAACTTCGCTGCAAAACCGGTTTGGCCCGGACTGGCAACACTATCAGCCACTTGGGTTGGGGGCTGGTGCAGGGGCAGTTCCTAAAAGGAGATTTTTTAATATAGGTACTGACCCTACTTATTTTGAAACTCATAAAGATACACAATATAACAGTGTAAAAATAACCACGCTAATTTAATTACCACAGAATACGCATTGGTGACAGCATAAGAGATGCCATAGACAAAATTTATATATCATTTATATAGTCGAAAGGAGTTTGTAAAGGGGGTTCCGAGGTTCTGCCTCTTGCGAGTTATAAGAAAAACTCAATGATACACCTTTGTCTTAAAGTTGCCATAGTTTCATTTTATAAAGCTCACCGCTAGTAGAAGAGGCAGACTGAAAAGGGACAACTGGAGAAAGTCAAGACGCAATAACATATAACTTCTTCCTTGTTTCTTTCTAGCTTTCTCTTAAATTAATTCAATCATATTAAGAGAGAAGTTCTTAATAGTATCCAGCCCCATCGGCAAGTAACCAAAAAACTAGGAAACAGATAATACAAGACAAAAAGCTAACTCTTCAAACGTTGACATAAGGCTTACGCCGAAAATTATGATCGATTGAAAAGTGCACAGTTGCAAGAAAAACAATTTTAATTGCAGCGATTCTATATCGATATTGCGACTTGACCCTTTTTTGTGAATAAGTCCGATTACTAACCTGCTTTATCTGCTGGCGGGGCCGCCCCTGGTGATCCTTCCCCTGGAGGTGGTTCTGCTGGTAGCCAGCCCCTGTTAAGAGTTACGACTTAAATGAAAAAAAAAACGTAAGCGACTTTTTTTTTGTATTATTAAATAACCTAAAAAATCGAATTCAATGCTATGTATTAATAAAGGGAAACAAATAATTTTAAAATAGTACTGGATCTGATATTGTTTAGTTGTTTGTTTGTTGTTATGATTACGTAAGCTGTCAATGATTTTACCTGTCAACTTTTAATAGTTTATTATTAAATAAAGCCTGTCAAAGCTTAATATGTACTAATGTGAAAGTATCATAAATGTATTTTCAGTTAATATTCATTCTGTCTTTTAATGCTTACGGATATAAACTGTCATATAGTAACCTACCAGAGTAGGTGTGTGGATTCTGCACTACAGCAAACGGGGTCAATCGATAGCATTCATCGTTCAAAAGTTGAGTCTAGCTGCTTGATGACATAACGTGTACTATATACAATGTGTATATCTACAGAAAGTTATGCTGCCAGTGATTTTAGTGTAACTCAACTAGTTAAAACTAAATCTGTTTTACCTCTAGTAAAACAGATAGATATTCGATGTTTATTTAATTCGTCACCATACTTGTTTTTAAAACATTTTAGAGTAGGTACTAGATTTTTTATTTAACTTTTCTTTCTTTTTAAAATGATTGATTTGTGCGTTTGCTTGATTCACACTTCACTAGCGTGGGCTTTATTTAAAAAGGTGTTTTATTACTTATAGGTAAGTCAGTAGGATATGGGTCAAAACTTTAGAAAGATGTCTTTAAATTTTATAAAATCCTTTTCAGCTCATTTTCTCGTGACATAGTAAAAATCATATATTCTTCTACGCCTTCAAGCCCAGCGCGAGTTTTAATAAAGTTATGTCACCGTTGTCAAGGTTTGCGAAAAATCGATTCACATTGAACTTGACCGGGTTTGTATGAAGCTCGAATGCGAAGTGCTAACAGATCTCATAGCAGACATAAACGAATTATCACGCGCGGACCTTGACTATTGCAGACTGACGAACAAACATGCAAATCGATGTGTTAATTGCTACATGTTGCAATCATCTAGAAACGTTCTATCTAAGATTTAGACTGAAAATCTAATTATACAATTTTCCGTAGTAAAGTTTAATAAGTATGGCAAAAACATGTTTGTCACCCTTTTTGTATTTATCAATAATAAAATCTGCAAGTACAACATTGTTACCCTCAAATTATAAAGAAAAACAAAACATCTGTCCACGGTGAAGTTAGGAATTTTTTTTTCAATATTTAAAAATTGTAAAAAGATATATTATAAATCAAAAGGTCTCTTCGTTCGAAAGCGGTTCATCTGTTTCCTCGTGAAGAAACTCCATTTCAGATGGTTCCTTGTGTTCGGTTACAGGTACTATGGTCTCCAACTCTTTAAGGGTAGACTCTCCTGCATCGATAACAGATTCCACAGCAGCTTGGAAGTCATCTTTGATTGGTGCAGAGAAGGTCGTTAATCCATGATCTGATTGTTCTGGTTCGTTTTTATTCTTCTCTGCTGTACCAACTGTATTCCTACTGGTGTCGTTCTCATAATTCTCTCTGAAAATTTGTATTTAGATGTTTAATTCAGTGATTCTTATATATCAATAAATCCTCCATTTCTAATAAGTTCTAAGTTAACAATAGAGAATAACGCTTAGAGGCGTTAATTTATATTACTTTTAAGTAAAACATCAAGACAGATTAAATAAAAAACAAAGAAATAAAAATAAACTTACATAATGCAAAACCTCTTCAGTAATTGAATTAGTGATAAATTATCATGTTTACGTTTCCGCGAGTTAATTTTATGTTCCAACAAGTGCAGGTGACGTTCTTCAAAAAGTTAAAAACAATAGAAGCCGAGTTAGCAACAAATCAGCTGATTTAACTGCGTGAAATGTTGGAAACTACCCAATTCGACTCGAGTGGAAAATATACGCAATTACGTTATATGTGTTATGTCACAATTGTGTGCTTCAAGATCGATGCTGCTGCTAATAAAATTCAAAAGTATCTATATAAAAAAAATGTACAATAAAAAATCTAATAATTTTTTAGAATAAGTATAATTTGAAATCGAAAATAAATTGAAAAAAAATTTCGACTCGGGCAGGACTTGAACCGGCATCTTAAGCTCTGAGCTCTTAGTAAGAGTTGAGTCCAATTGAGTTAGCGAGTCCGAATTTTTAAATGACTTAGACGACGTGCCACGTGGGCATTAACATGTAAAAAATAATTCGTTTTCAAAGAATACGTATTTCTATTCTTTTATTTATTAAGCTTTAGATATACTACATTTATAGTTCAATTCGTGTCTTAATTAATATGTATTTCTTTGTGTTGATAAATCTGACGTAAGTTTTCAATGTTAGTTACTACCGCTTAGAAAATAAGAAGACTGTCTTTGGTAACTTTGAAAATTTTAAGGAATTAGGAGGACCTCTGAGAATTCATAGGGTGACAAATAGATACAAGCACCTCTCGCGCATTATCTATATGCTTGTATCAATAGGTTGAAAAAAATCGACGATGACGTGTAGGATTCGGTATCTCAATTGGTCAAAGCAACAGCACGGAACGCTGACGATGCCCGTTAAAGTCCTGCCCGAGTCGTAATTTTTTTCAATTTATATTTTATTTTTAATTTAAGTAGATACCATTTTGTATCCTTGATCTTGGTTTGGATTTGTAAAAGAAGACTACACGCTATATACCTACTCGTTGTAATGAATAGATATTTTGCTTTTCCCGCGTTTCCACTCACGACGTAGGAAAACCGTGCTTTAGCGAATTCATATTTTTATGTTTCAGAATAGACGACCAGCCATAAACCAATGCACGACCTTTCCGAAGTCGTTCGGCCCATTAGAATCAAATTCTGGCAACGGGAGGTATTTTGGCACTAGGCTGGTATAGATGAACCCTCTTCTTGGCCGGACGCCAGCGTCTTAGAAGACGCGCCTTGAACGATTTTAAACAACAGTTTATTGATCTGGCGGAAGTTCTAGCTTATTTCACGTTACAATAAATACCTCTTTATTAATTTCTATTAATTATTAAGTATGCTTTGTCCAGCGGAGCTTTTTTGTCTCAGTTTTAAAAGAAGTGGGTTTTAAACCAGGGAAATCACAATGAAAATTCATTTTATGTAGGAAAATTTCACTGATTAGAATCATCTTGGGCTATTTTACATTTTATAGATATAATAAGAGATACAACAAGGAAATTGCGAGGGGGTTTCAAATTTTCTTCCTAAACAATGTTATCTATACTACAATAAAACTAAACACCAGGCCGCCATTCAAATACTCTCAACCGTGGAAATAAGGAACTTGCACAGTTTTGTGAAGTGCAAGTATTTGCTCAGTTTATGTACCTTTCGTGATCTCGTGCGCAAATTCCTTTGCACTTCGGGAACAGGTACTGCAAGCTTCCTAGTACTTACATAGTTTCACTGCATTCTTGACAAAAGTAATGTTAAGTTGGAAACTTGTTCTAAAACCGTCTATAGTCTTAATACTATCTTCTAGAATTTAAGTACCACGGAATAATTACGATGAGCAACGTAAAAGATTCGCTCGATTTGTCGTCAATAAAAAAATATATCACTAATCTTATAGCGCTATAAAAGTGTATACATAATTCTTATATTTTACCCTTCAACTACGTTGTATAGCCAATAGATTGGATAGACCGTCACAGTGAGTAGACAGCCAAATAGCGACGAGACAAATGGTAATGCGCGACTTCCTCACTCGTTATTTTATGCGCAGACGCAAGTATCAGGACTGAAATCGCGTCGATCCGTAGGGTATGCGGATTGTATTATTTAGGTAGGTAGAATATATTTATAATGATAAAAAATAAATAATTAAAAACAAGAATTTATATATCATTTTTATTATACTAAGTGGCATATTGGACATAAAACTATTTCATAAAAGGACCAGTTCACATAAGGGTGTATAATAGACTCGGCCTTAACTGCGAAAAGGAAGCTATCCTTTTCAAATTTGTATTCACTCCCTTTATTATGTTTGTGAGAATAAGTCTTAAATGTTATAGTTCTAAACGTATTTCTATTCTAGTCTATAAAAAGGGGCATTGAAAGACCTACGAGACGATGGTCTGGTGACTTAGCACATTAGGCACTGGCTGGTTGAAAGCGACATTCAACACACGAGAGAAAAGCAAATGTAATTACATAAAAAATAGTCTGTTAATGCTATTCATTTTAGACTTGAGAGCACGGCATGTGGGCTGCGACAATATATATTCTACTTAAACCATGCCAGTAAAATTTGCATTTGAACTAGAGTTAGCGACCACTGCAGAGAATTGACTTCTATTTTCTGTTAGTAAAATTTATTGCACTTTCAAGGGTTGGCACAGTGGCAATATTAATTAAAAATCTATTTTAGATTTAAAAACGACACGGGCACGTCTTGAACCGGCATACACAGTATGCGTGCTATTACCAATTGAGTTACCGTGGCAATATTTTTATGTATTGTATACGTAATTTCCTAAAATGTGGATTTTTCTTACTCTTACGCAAAAACAAACCCTTGTTGATGAAGTGTAAAATGTTATCAATGTAATGGTAGCAATGTACCGCTAGTAATGAACAGGTTGAACATGTTGCCAAGAAATTAATAATTTTCTGAAACATTGGGCTTCGTCTGGATATCTCGATATGAAATGGGTGGCAGGAATATCGAAATTCCGTCCGGGTTTCAAACCACTGTCCACAGATGATAAAGCCGTGACATTTAACGCGTTTCGGTTTCTGTCTGTTGAGTTTCGAATAATCAAAGCCAAAATAGGTCGATAGCACATCTTGTTTAGGTATTATATGGCTGGGGTATTTCACTCACTATCATAAAACAATATAGCTAAAATTTTGGGAGATGTAACATCGGTTGAAACCGAGTATTATTATTGCCCAGTATTTCGTCAAAATAAAAACGTAAACTTAGTTTGAAGCCCGTGATTCGCTGGCTGCATAACTTGATAGTAGCAGCCCTCAGCTGCATCTATGCAAATAGTAAAAGTCACCCGCATCGTATCTACATCCCACTGCATTTAGTCACCAATGCAATGCTGCGGTTAAAATTAACTTTCTACTTTGTCACCAACCGACAAACCGCATAGATACCACAAATGTAGTCTAGTTTTGCTATACGGCTTTCAACGAATATTTACTATTCGGCTGAATACCGAATACTATACAAATAATATATTTGTACTGTCATAGTTACTTAAGTTTGAAATAGTTAATTACGCATAATTTTTTGTTATATATGTTTATATAATTTTAAGTAATTAAATAAATAAATACTTAACTATATTTACCTTTTTAGAGAACATATAAGATGAATATATAGATTTAATATCCCTTTTATTCCGACACTAACACAATAAAATTTTAAGAGGCCGTTTTGTTTTGCTGTACATACTAATCGTCGCAAGCCTAATAGATATATAAATGATAGTATATAACTAGATAAATAAAGAAGGATAGTCCCATCTGTATTCATCTATTCTTTTTTTGTTCTTGACTTTACTAAAAAAAATAAACAAAAGAGGTTGTTTGTGCTTTTGCGTTTATAATAAATAGTATTATAACTTTTAATTTAATAGGTTCCACGCATCAATATAACAATGACATATATAAGTTTGGTTTTACTGAGGATGAATAAAAGATATACTCAATATCTTGCGTAGTATATTTTTGCTGGTTATCACGAAAAGGTGTGCTTAAGTAGAAATATCGATGAGAAAGTGGACATCTGTTGTTTACTGACACATTTAGATGTACCTACTCGATCATTTATAAAGTTTTTGCATAGCATTTTATTACTACTGCTATGAATCTATTTGAAGAATTATCATTTCATTGTAAGATCGCTACTATTCATTTTGATAATTTGTATTTCTTTTAGTTTTAAACTTTATTTAGTTATGATTAAAGGGACAGTTGAAATAAATACATTTATAATTTGTCCTCTTATACACTTCCATATTTTATACAATAATACGAATACTTAAACAAAACAACTTATAAACATTATGTATTTACATAATAAATAAGTTAAACTAATACATTTCAAGTGTTAAACCATTCAATTTTTTTTATTTAAATGGAAAAGTAATTTAATATAATGAATATGATTATTCAAAGAAAATGTATTAAAAAAACTGTCAATTACAAAGTCAAGTAGAGGATTTACACTTATCCACTGTAAATCTTGATTTATCTACACGTAGCTTTCCTTTAATCAGTAGATGCCAAGTAACTCACGTAGGTACACACCTATAGTACAACGTAGTTTGACGTCAAAATGCGTATCAGGTGATACAATAATTCAATAAAATATGTCTAAACCAATCTAGATCTGAGATTACCCAATTAGTTTTAATATTATTGAATAAGGTGGTCTTACTTACTACCCTGCCTAGAAGCATCTTTTTATTAATTGAAAACAAAAAAAATATCATTTCAGTACTTAATTTGATTAACAGCCCACGTACTAATTAATAATATTAAGAACGAAAAGAAATCAACGAAACTCGATAACATATTTTTTATACTTTTGTATATTTATTAATTTATCTATCATTTATATTATGTTTTGGGCAGTTCCAAACATATTTATTCCAAATAATCCATTAAACCTCGGCCCGCGCGTCCGCAACTTATAAGTAATCAGAATAACCAGTTTCGTAAGATAAACTTAAAAATTTCAAATAATAATACATATAATTTTATTACAAATATCTCTTATTAATAAGATGAAAGACACTAAGAAGACCGTCCGACGCGGGCTCTCTTATATCCACCAGCATTATAAAAAGTGCGATCAGACAAAATGAAATTTGCCAAATTAACCGCGGCCACGACCTCTGCCACCAGATGTTTCATCCTTTTAATGACAAAATGAATTTAATAACGCTGATTGGGGCGCTATAAGCCAACGCGATGTTCCATGACTCTGTGTAACTTTTATTAAACTTAAGCCGTGAATTCACGAAATGCTAAACTTAATTGCAGAATATTAATTTTTAAAGAAACATGTTTTTAATTCAAGTAAAACACTTTTAACGGTTTAAAACGGAGAATATATTAGTTAATTATTTACACTTTTTTTACCTACGGTCCGACGACGTTTCGGATACTTTGCATCAGCCATGGTCACGAGGGGACCATGTTGATTTTTATTTTTGTTTTTGTAGATGGCAATGCGCAAATAGATAACGCAATACTTTGAAAGCTGTTAAGGTGTAAAGTGTAGATTTTGTAAACCAAAAATTCATCACACAGTATGTTTATTATTATATGGCGTATCCATACCATCTCATGTATTTATTTAGACTACATACTACGTAGTCTAGTCATAAAGACTAATAAAACAGAGCGCATCTATAGGAAATAATTCATTACGAAACAAGAACTAACAGAGAAAACTTACTTTGTACCTTGGTCATAGAAAAGAAACCGCAATTCTTCGCTTAAAGACACAGATTATAAAACCAGTGTCACCATTTTCTCACCTTAGGACACTAGTAACAATAATTTCAGCCTTGTACCAAAATTGAAAAAGAACCATGTTTGGAATTATATGCGGGAGCAGTAAATAGCTTTATTAATTAGGTAATTTTCTTATTAATGAGATTGTTTTTTGAAACTATAAACAATGTAGAATGGGCAACTGTGCGTGTGTACACTGTACAGGATGTCTGGGCAATGCACACCACCGGATGTGCATTAAGACACAGGGAACTCCAGACTTACTATCAATTGATATTAATATGATTAATTTTAACTTTTATAATCTAGATTGAGTTTTCCGCTTGAGTCGAATGGTGAGGTTTACTAATTCATTTAATAACGTTTTCACGAAGTTTTATTGTTCATGACAGACACACAAAATATTGAAAACTTTAATATCTTTCACATGTTATTTTACATGATGGTAGATGCCGGTTCAAGTCCTGCCCAAGTAATTTTTGTTTAATAATTTATGTACAATGCAGCCAATTTAGTGTTGGTTATAACGTTCTATTTTAAAAACTTATACTTAATCTAACCAGATTTAAATAAAACACTAACGGTTTAAAACGCGATGTCTCCCCGTGACCACGGCTGCTGCAAAGCATCCGAAACGTCGGGCCGAAGTTAAAAATCATTTTCAAATAAGTTTACCTAATATATCGCGTTTTAAACCGTTAAAGTGTTTTATTTAAATGTGTACTACTCGCGTCAACTATAGACAGTATCTAACCAGATTTCTTTTTTTTTACTAAAAGTTAAATAAATGCTTAACACAAATGTGTATTTTCTTAAATTTGCGTGATTATGTAGGCTTTAAAAATAAATAGAAGAATTATTAAATTTATCGAAATATATTGCAAAAAGTGAGTGTGTCTATTGGTAAAAAAACACACGTTTACCTCTATATATTATGTATATTGTCTATGGCTACATAGCATAGTCTATGGCTACATATGTTATCTATGGCTTCTAATTAATATAGAGTGTGCGATGCTAAACGGTTAATTAAAAGCGATCTGATCCCAGCAGTGGGGAACAAGGTCACTCATGAATTACGGGCATCTAGTCATATCGTGAATACCGGCCAAATCGAACTGTAAACATAAAAGTTTCCATTGTTTTACGATACGAATTTTATAAATGTTTATCTTTATTTAAACGGCTTTAAATTTTAAAAGCTCATGTCACTCCACAGAACTTGAATATTACAAATTTACCAAAATATTTATATGAGTTTGTAAAACTATTTACAAATTGGAATTATAATATAAGTTTATATGAAATATTATATGAGGCTTTACTATAATATAATTAATTACTATCCATATTCATATGCCGTATTCTTTGGAGTCCTAGATTTTTTAATGACAGAGGCGACAGCAGGCTGACTGGGAGATGAAATCCCCCAGCCATATAACATCTACACAAGATGCTGTAAACCTATTATGGCTTTGGATATTCGGAAATCCACAGACTAAAACCGAAACCACAGCTTTTTCATCTATGGACGGAGTTTCGGGACCCGGATGGAGTTTCGATATTCCTACCACCCGTTTAATATCCAGATTTTCAGACGAAGTACAACATGTTTCAGAACAATTACAAATTGTTGGACCCAGCGGGGATTAAACCAACGAGCGCGCCAAATTATTAGTGTGGGAATTATAAGTTTATACGAAATATTATATGTGGCTTTAATCTATACACATATAATTAATTATTATCTATATATGCCGTATGCCTTGGGTTAAACTAAACTAAACTGAGTCTTACATAAATGGATATTCACATTTCAAATGAAACACATTTATAACAATTGTATTATGTGACAAGTAGGAAGTGTTTTAGAGATTAATTGTTTTAATTTATAACGACTATAATTAAACATTTAATAGTGCGATGGAAACGTTACAATAAACAAGATATCCTCAATACTTGGCAGACGCTCGGTTCCCGATGTGTTTGGCACTGGCTATTGTTAGAGCTCGCTCGGAATCCGCTAACATTGTCTCATTGCAATCAGATAGTTAAATATTGTGATGATTGATATGCTTTTAATGTTTCAATAAAGAAGGCTATGCTTTAAACTACAACGTATATTGTTTCATCACGGAATGTTGTAGCCAATATATTAATGAACTAGCTGTGTTGGTGACTTCGTCCGCCTAGAATAATTATTTTGGGCGTCAACATTTGTTTTTACAAACGCGAAGTCGTCCGCGTCCCGTCATTCTCGCAAGTTCTTATAACATAGACATAATATATTGTCGCGGGTATTTTTAGATCATTTAAAAAGCAATCAATCTTTACTACATATTTTTCGGGTATGTTGAACCGTTTTCGCAGCGTACGCATCGGAAACCCGAAAAAATGAATAATTTTCTCTATGTATAATGCTATGAATGTATATTCTACAACAGCCATTAATACATTGGTGTGCTAACTTTTATAGGACGTATACATACTTTATAACTCTAACATTCTTACATCGTAAAAGGTCATGAAAATGTCATAAAAATAAATGTTTCAGCGTGCTGTGAATTGTGAAAATATCAAACGGAGAAGGTTGAAATTTATTTTTATAGAGCCGTACGTATCTATCCCAATTCAAAGATCCAATTTGGATGGGAAAATGTATCTTTTTATTAAACGTCTAGAGGGACGTAATTCATTTTAAAAAACTTAATTTAAGTTTTACCGCGTAAAAGTAAAAATAAACATTTATCCCTACAAATTAACCCGAAAGAATTCTAACAGGAAATTATATTTTAAGAACATGTACGAAGAGTTAATTAAATTGGATTAAATATCAATATAATAATAATAGGGATGTCTAATGATTATTTATTTATTAAAGCGTATAGCGACAACTCAAAATAGCTATGGATAGGAACATTGTTAGAACAAGCAGACATGGGTCGGATTTGTTTTGTTGGGCATATGCCAAATTGCTGGGCTATCTGCAAGGTGGTTAAGCCTAGGCATTACTAAATTGTACACAACGATACTAGATATAGAACGACGTAAAAAGTCTAGGAAAGATTTAAGATACAGCCTTTCCTATTTATAATTAAAAACGAACGAACGACAAACGAGTCAAGGAATAGCTGACGATATCCAATCGTCTACAGCCAAGAAACGTCCATAGCGCACGATAATTAGATGATATGCTTATTAGTAACCCTCTTTTAAAAAATTATGACGAGAATACACAAACAAACAAAAAACTTTGCAGTTACACAGACTGGCTTTAAACAGCGTCCGTTAAAATAATTACATATTGGAATATCCACTTCCTATTATTACTTCTTATTATTAATATTCTTTTTTGTTACTGTTAAATGTGCCATCGGTTTAATTTTTTTTTGAATATACCAGAATAATTTACACATAAACTATATTATAAGGTCTCCTTAATAAAAGTATGAATACGTGTTCATAGTAGGTACTATTAAAATTTTAATTAGTTTCAGACAAAGCTGAAATTTAAAAGCTACTGCTCATATAAAATCTCTACTTCTACAGGGCTGAGTTGACCTAGTTTTCGACGTTCTTACTTAGACGACTTTTTAGGTTAAGAAAATATTCCCTTGAGACGCTAAGAAGCCGTTATATAATATTAACAATTTTTAAGAAAACCTAGATCAAGCAAATATGCCCGAGTTTTGTATTTAATTGCAAGAAGCGTTTCAGATAGAAGAGCAGTTTTAAAAACAAGCTTTTACACTTTATTACATAATACTGGCAAAATTGGCAATCGCAAATATAATTCCCGTTCTTAAAACATTCCTCATTAACCCTCCGCCTATGGCATTAAAATAACTTTATGGACAACCGATTATAGTAAGATTTATACTGATCCATCGTGAGGTTATTCTCAAACTATGAATTTTAATAAAATTCGGCGTTTGCAAAATTACTTACTTTTAGTAGAATTTAGAAAAGCTCTTTAGCTTTTTAATATCTGTCCATCTGTATTTTTTATATGAAGCGTAATATTGATTTGATGACATTATTAATGCAAATAAAAAAAATTTTTCGATGAATATCGGCGCTTAATTTAGTAGTCTATAGCTACAATGTTAATAAATAATATTGTTTAGTCTGTAGCTCTGAGAAACAGCAACTATCGTGTGACGTGTTAGAAACCTTGTAAGGGCGTCTCGCCAAGTTTAACCAGCTTAACTTAACTCTAGGTCAATGAACATTCCGCCAAGGTCAATATCAGGCAATGTGAACACGCTATTCTCGCAGTTTATGTAATACACGAGAGGGTAACTATTGATTACAGATTATACAACCGCTAAATTATGTTTTGAACCATAGCCATTATTGTCTTTGGTTCCCAGCGGAGGTAAACTGTTAAAAAAAAGATAATCGTATAAGAAGGTAACTTTGATTGATTTGAGAAGTGAACGGGAGAGACGAGGATACTCACTTTGTGCGGGCTTTAATTGCTATTTTTAATTTCCCCCTAACAAGGTTTATGTACATTGCAATGCTTTTTACGATGAGAATAGGTTTCTATAAAATAGGGAAATATTTCTCTTAAAATATGTATTACATATACATATTAACGTTAAAATATATTGTATTCTATACCTATAAGAAGGACACCAGATGCTATCTATCATGTGGTTAAACTAAGCGTAAAATAAGATGTATTGACTATTGAAAACGATGATTGACTGCCGATAGAAATCTAAATTGTCAAGGCATGCAATAACTTTGAATTAGAGTAAAATACTTATTCAAATTATGTATTATTAAGATGTAAGTCGACTCGTAGACAACAGTATTTTAAACACCACCGTAGTAGAAATTAATCTTTTAATTGCTATTTTAATGGTGTTAAAAGTTCTTTGGTATCATTGGCCATGTTGTCAGTAGTTAGGTTTATAGAATTTCTACTCACCTGTAATAACTGTACGCTAGTGCAACGTACCACAACAAGAAAATTATCATGGTTCTTCTGAGAGAAAAGGATTAACTGTAATAAAGAAGTAAAGTAAAGTAAGGTGAAAGTTGTAAGTTTAAAAAAAAAGTACTTATGAAGGTAATAAGGAACATAAATAATAATTTAACGCCTGTTAATATATTCACAGCAAGAATATATAGACAAACGATTTACTAATTAATTGTTATAATAATATAATTTAACGGAGCTAGGTGTCATAAAGCAAATATAGACATTACGCTCCTACATGTGTTTATTTCTTTGAAAAAACTTAATAACGACAAATAGGTACCTTATATTACTCCGGGCCACATTTTGAGTGTTGGAAAGATTGGATTTATTAGTGCATTTTTTGTCTTTGTATTATTGGCTTACATATTGGGTTTGTAGGAGATGCCAGAAAGAAACTGACAGTGTATGTCAGAATTATTACAAGAAAAGTCTACATTTAACAAGACTAGAAATTTACATATGTCTATGGTATAATTTGACTATGTTTTTCTATTCAATTATGATTTTTTAATACAAACATCCTAAATAAATTGTCGTTACAAATCATTAATATAGAACTATTTAATAAAACACTTTAACGGCTTAAAACGCGATATATATTAGGACACGTCTCCTCGTAACTACGGCTGCTGCAAAGAATCTGGCATGTCGGGCCGTTAAAATAATTTTCAAACAAGTTTAACTAATAAATATCTCGTTTTTAAACGGTTAAAGTGTTTTATTTAAATGTGTACTACTCTTAATAATCTTATATTAAACTAATTTTACTTACAATTGTAAATATTTCCGAATGTTGAAAAAGTTCTAGAAGGCCATGCAATAGAACTTACTTACACGTCAAGAATTTATCGATTTGACCGTAGTATTCGCCGGCACAGATTTCCGATTGGAAAATGTTGGAATTAGGTCACCTAACTTAATAGCTTTGCCTGGGTAAAACTTTGTATTACCTATTATAGTGTCAAAAGTAGCAACATTGTAGGCTTTGTCTACTAAAAGCCTTTAAAATAATACTGTTTATAACAATTTAAAGATTTGATTGAAATCAAACAACTTTTGAAACAATTTATATATTTAACAGTATAATGAAATATAGAGATATTTTCTTTTGACAAAACTTGTGAAAAGTCTTGAAATATTATTCATAATGTTAAACAACACTTATTATATTACAATGATTCGTTTATTCTTTATATAATATAAAAGTTTCTATAAAATTCCTCTTTTGTTAACTTTATATCACATTCTTTAACTAGTTTTTAATAAATGTTTTATTTATGCATGTATTATTGTACAGTAATAAATCCTTTTTCCATCTTTTCCACATATTCCTTCCTGCAGGGCATGTCGTCAGCTGGTCTGTTGTAGGGAAGCCATACTGGCTCACCAATAAAGAAACGTTTTGCGCGAATGTAGTTCTGAAAACCATAAAGATAAGAATACACTTAACACCTTTGTACAAATATGAAGTATTTAAGTAGAACGAAGAAGTATATTAAAAATCTAATATAAATATGTATGAGAAAATCTTACGTTTGAATCCAATGTAAACCTGTGGTAGATACCACTTGGAATGATAATAAGATCGCCTGGAAAAACAGCTATACGTATCCATTGGTCTTCAGAGTCACGTACATCAAAGTAACCGGATCCCTCTACCACCAGTCTAAAGAATTTATTATTGTTAATTTCCGTATTTATGAATTATAATAATTAAGTACTACAGCGCTACCTGGCTCTATTTAGGCGCAACAAGTGTCAGGTATTTCATATAGCAAAACCAGGTGGCGCTGATCACATCTCATTTTGAAAAATTTTGGAATTCATACTTTTGACCAAAATTAAACAAAGTATAGTATTATAATTGAAATAATATAAATACAATGAATAAATCCATTAATAAATTTATAAATATATGCATATTTTACATGTAAAAATTATGTAATGTTTTCACATTATTAAAAGATAAAAAAATCAATTTTTAATTTATAGGTAATAAATTAAAAATCTATTTAAGTTTAGTAGAGTAGCGCTAATTTGTGTGGTTTGTGGGTATTCTAACCCTGCTTGTTTCATGAATTTTTAAAATTCTATAGATTCCTAATTCATCCATTCTAGTTGTTTTAGCCATTGATATACAACAAGATTTTATAATTTAAGTGAAAAGAAAGTGTTAAAATTTGAACTACCTTATCTCTTCATCTGTATGCAGATGCTCTGTGTAGAAGGACTTAAGTTTTTCAGCATAATTAGGCAGGCACTTCTCTGAGCAAGTGATTTGATCCTCATAGGTGTAACCTCTCTCTTTCTTTATTTTATCAAGCACACCATCAGTTTCAAAGGTGTCTATGTTCAACTGAAATATATTTTATAAAAAAAGGGAAATATGCCATTACAGTGGCTAATCTTCAGTTCTTAATTTTATTTATACTACACTGATACAATTTGTCACATTAATTTTAATTTAAATTAAATCTTCTACTGCTGTTTACTTTCAGCACATAAATGATTTTAAAATCTTTAAGATAAAAAATATTATATAAAGTGTAATCAAATGTGCGGGATTTGAATCTTTTGACCTCTTGAAGATATTAACAAGATAAACGTTACATACGCAGTAGTACTCAACACCGGTTTTCCTAAATAACTCTTCGAGTGATAAGTATTCCGGTGGAGACTTGTGATGTTCCAAACGCTGATCGCTTACAATGTCCTCATCCATGTACCAAACTTTCACCATTTTTTGGTACCGTACCTTGCGCAAGAAAATATTAAAAACAAAAACTTTGCCTCATATACTTAATAATATCACTCACCAGCTCGTGCCTACAGATTAGTCAATTGTCATTTAGTTAAGTAAACTTTCAATGTCATCATTGTTAATATTGACATTTACAGTCTAAATTTTAATTTCTTCTTCTTAATTTGATTTCTTTCCATGGGAACGACACGGCGTGATAATATTAATTATTGTAGTTTATTTTTATTTTGTTTTTTGGCCATTAGTAATAAGAAAAAATGACAAATTATAGTTTCCAAATAAAATAAAATGTATAATATCATGACTTGTTATTCGTCCCATAAACACAGGACACTGGCAGAACCAATTAGAATGGGAAAAGGAAGAAGAAGCCTATTTGATTTTTACAGCATAAATAATATCAGTTTGTAGATCTGTGGTAAACGTTGTTTTCGATATATTCGAAAATAAGTAAATTCTCTGTAAAAAAATAATAATTTACAAAGGGGGATATACTATAAAACAAAATGTGTAATGCCAGTAAAAATAAATGTATTTCATTAATATTAACATGATTACGAATAAATGTAACTAAAATACATCGTTTAATTACGTCTTTACTACATAACCCAAATAATCTTTATTTATTTAAGCTCATGGTTATGCTTGACGTTAAAACAAAATACACCTGATTTTACAAATTAAAGAGATATCATTTACATTTACATTCACAAGCAGACACAAGTAACATGGAAATCTTAGAACTTCTCAATAGTTTTTGAAGCCTTCAGACTATCTTTATAATGTTACTTGTATTATAAACATATAGTCTGCCTATATGTTTATAATGCAAGTAGGCAACCTATTTTAGCCATTTGCATAGTTTTTGTATACGTCACCCCTCAATCAATGTTAACAATGAATTCAAAATCTATTGAGATCTTACATGTAAGTAATTATGAATGCTTTTAAACTTTTTAAGTTATTTATTATTACATTAGAATATATCCACTAAGAATAAAATTACTTGTAATGTTGTACATTTTATATTGATATGAATGAACAAAAACAAATGTTCTACCAACGGAATCTCTACTCACAACCCTGACTTAAAATAAAGGTTTTAGATAATTTAGTAAAGATTTAACAAACTATTTGGAAAGTAGATATGAAGATATTTTTAAAGTAAAGTTTTGGGTAAGCGTTTGTTCAACAAAACCATTTAAAAACATGGATTTTTAAATACATCAATGTGTAACATCTATATATTTAATAGATAAGTTATTGATTGTATGTGTTTAGTTTTATAATAGGTTCTGGTGAATTAAAAAAAATAGTAAGTGTTACTTATGGAGAGGCCAATTTATAACAAATTCTTTTGAAAAGATAGGTAATACCTAGAGTCGTGCAATATCTTTTCTTTTCATTAAAGTTCTCACAACCCAATATAACTTAATAAACAATACAATTTAAAAAAAATAACAAAATGCAAAAGTGGACGGAGAATATATATAAAGTATAACAATATGTTAAAAAATGATAATAAAATAAAAATGATAGATAACATATTAATATTAAAAAGAAAACAACCTCATTGTAATAATTAATTTAAAAAAATGGATTGATTTGTTAAAAACAATGTTTACACAAAGCTATTCAGATAAGATACATAGTTCTTAGAAATAATACGCGATGTTTATATTATGTATTCTGGTAGAAAATTTTGCGAGGTGTACATTGAAAAATATAATAATATGAAATTAAATATGGCATAAAAGATTTAGAAAGAAACATTACTTTTTTAATTTGATCTTTAATTTAGCCACAATACAGTTAGGATTTTAAAAAGTCAGCTTTAGGCTAACAAGAATAATGTAGCATGCATCTTTATTTCAATACTTAAAAGTACTAGAATTGCAAATCATTGCTGGTCACATAAATATATATATATATATATATATATATTTAACACTAATTATAATTATACATAGCATATTAAACAAAGATGGTGAATACATTAAAACCTAAACATTCAATTAATCTTATATTACACCAACATAACTGCAATATGTATGGAATAAAATCATAAATTAACTATCACAACTAAACAATACATAGGTTTATATAATTTACAAATTAAATCTAATATGAATACTGAGATCATTGACTATTTCTACATAATTATGCAATTTTTAATTCCATCAATTAAATAAGACATTTCTATTATTATGTGTTATTAAAAATAGTAACGCGCTTTCTCTGAAACACATTGGATATAAAAATAGTACACCCTACCACCTTTATTCAATAAAGGTCGATGAAGGTTACATAAGATATGCCTTTTCGTATTACGCAAAGGCGTTAAAACAAATTGTTAATTAAATAAAAATATTTAATCCAATTTCGGACTATGTATGTTGCATAAAAATGTCGTTCATGCGAAGAAAATACATGCGATATAATTATACGTCAATATTGAAAGCGCGCTATTTTCTCAATGACGTCATCGGTGTCGTTCACAACACGAACGCAACGAGTGAAAAAGCTACACACTAAAATATTTACATGAAAGGTAAATAGTCATTCTCTAGTCTAAAATCAAGTTTATACAATCTATTTGAAATCGTCATAGAAAGAAAGATAACCACTTTTGAAAGAGACAAAGCGCGCGTCTTGGAGATGTTTAAGCGCATTTGAGTCATACAAAACTTAACTGCTTTTCTCTTTGTAAAGTAGATCTATGTCATAAGTCCGAATTGTCTATGGTCTTATAACTTGGTGTGTTTCACTGTGTCAGTCCAGTAGTTCTGGATGGTCATGGCTTCTAGAGAGTTGAGGAACGAATCGTTGTCCAAACTGTACATTTCTTCAGAGTTATCCTGGAAACAGAAAGGGTAATATGAACATTTGATAATCTAACTGACAATATTAAGGAAGAAGAAGAGAAATTTAAGACATTTTCCCCTTTTGTCTTTGTCAGTGACTTTCTTTTACATTCATGGTATGCTACGCAGTGAAGAACTGCTCGTGGGTTGCAGTCCGGGCTGTGAAATCGATTTTACCTAGTAGTTTTATATTTGACTTGATTTATTAATTAAACAAGAGACAAATATTTCTGAAGTCTTCATAATACTTACTCTTATAGTACTGTCATCAAGATAGCCACTGGAATCAGGATTGGAGCACTTGTCATTTAACGTCTGAGGTTTATTTAGATACCGTCGTCTATACAGGACAAAAGCAGTACTGCCAGCTAAGCCCACCAAAGCAAGAGCTGCGAAAGAGATCCCCGCTATTGCTCCAGTGTCCATACCTTCTTCCCCTGGATCTATCACTCTTCTAGAAGATTCTATATTCGACGGAATTTTCGTCTGTATAAACGCAGTCTCTAGGGACAGAGGTTTTTCAGTCACAATTCGACTTTCTGACAGTCCCGCTATGGGTATACCGTCTTTTACAAAGACGGCCCTACCTGTCTCTGGTCTTGTCAAGTTCCGCCGCTTTGTCACAGTTGTGTTCTGTGCTTCGGTCACATTATCTGTAGCGATAGACGCGTTAATACTAACGACGTCAAACGTTGCATTGTCTGTGGTATTTACGGGGGTCCACTGTATATCTGTGGAGGTTGTTACAGTGGTTGTTACATTTGTCGGTGTAGGAGAACTTCGTGGAGGATCTCTTGTTACGTTCTCCGGGGGCTTTGTTATCTGCGGTGTCTTCGTGAAATACATAGCTCTGGGCTGTCTCTCATAGCGTTCCGTCTCGGGGTCGGCTGTAATGTACTGTAGGTCTTCTGACTTAGGCGCAGCAATAGTCCTTCCGGTGCTGGCTGTAATGATAAGATATGCAAAATTAATTGAGTGTTACTTGTAAGTCTTGGCAAGGTCGTGATAGCAAAATGTGGGCTAGGTTTCACATAACTTTGTCCATAATGCCTAGGTGTGGTTTATCGCTCAACTCAGTTTCTTATACACGCGACAAGGTGTTGAATGTTTGTTATGGAAAAAAAATTGTTTGCGTAGCCATGGAAACAAGAATAAGGAACCTTTTTATTCTTAAAGCGGCAGAAAAGTCTTGCTTGTGCGTGATATATGCTTTAATAAAATTATTGTCAATAGGAACTTTAATAGATCACACAATTAATAGAAGAGCAAAGGGAAATTTTTCTTTTTTTATGATAAGATAAGTTTTCAATTATATTCTATATACATACAAAAATAGGATAAAATTACACCATTTAATACTCGATAATGCGACAGAGAAGATTGCACTAAGTAAAGATTTAATTAAATATGAAATTCAAATCCATCCAGCCTCAACACTTGAACTGATAATTCAGCAATTTCATTAGCTCCGAGTTTCATTCGCTCAAGTAGCGGATTAAAATTCATAAAACGTATTCATGTGGGCGTTTTAATGTATATTAAGTACGGGCAACAATTACGTGTAAATTGAGTGGAATTCGGCATTCAATGAGATAAAGGGAATGTTGATGTTACATTTATACACGACAACGGCGTATTTTATATACTACTCAACCTATGTAATTATTTAGCTATTAAAAACTCAGATTATATTATTTATTACTAGTCTTAGATTATTCGTCCTATACGACTCCTCAAGAGTCAATTTATTATGAGTCTGCAAGAAGCGAGTGTCTAGTAACAAAAAACATGATATTCAATAAGGAGGAAAATAAAAATGCCCAATTATTTGTGTAAGAATTATCTTAACAATTCTCGATTTTTAGACTATGAAAATGTAAATAATTTAAGTCATAAAATTGCAGTTAGGCTACTCTGCCTCTAGCGGCCTTATATATTGTCATTTCAATAAACTAACTTATTAGTATTGGGTTTGTTATTGTGTTAACAACCTTGATAATTAGTAACGTTTCCAATACGGTTTTTTAGGATACGAACTTGACGATTTCCCGTCCCAAATTATACAATGTTACATACTTCCGATAAGGCTTAGTCATCGCTTCGTTACAAGTCGTCTTGTTACAAACTCGATTCTTATATGGTTATTATTGTTTAAATTTTAAAAATAAATATTGTTTTATTTTATTGCAATGGTGGGGGTGTATCATTCTCTAACACCATCTCAGTCAGTATCCCGAAGAGAGAGATTAATACATCTAATGATAACAAATTCATTACCAAATACGCAAATAATTTGTGCGAGTGGAATAGAAATAAGTGCGAGAAAGTTAGGCCGTAGGCAACAAAGATAGATATCTGTGGATCTCTATTGTGACTGATCTCAATTATTCAAATAAATCATTAAATAAACATATTACTGTACATATGAAGACAAATTATTTTTACGTAAATAAAAGTACATATATGCTCAATATAAAGTTATATTATAATTTCGTTGCGAACAGAAATTATCATAAAAGTCGGGTAAACTTTTTAACGACGACTTTCTCATTAAAAATTAATCAAGACAAGATAAGACGATAACTTATCCTGCAAAATGTCGCTTTATTAAATTCCCTCAAAGCAATCTATTACGTTCGCAATTTAGCTGTAACGCCCAAATGGGTTCTACCTAACAATGGTTAATTTATCGTTACTCTGCAATTGTTATCGGTCTCAATAATATTGATCGCCAGAATATGGAAGGACTATAAAGGAATGCCAGCTCTTCGTAGTGTTCCAGGCTAAACATGAACATAGAATTTTGATTTATAGTTTGTTCCTGACAGTTACTTAAAATACGTGTAATATGTTTGAAAACTTTAATATTTTTCACATCTTATTGCACATGATGGCAAGATATGAATAAAAAATTGATTAGAAATTTAAAAAATGTACGACTCGGGCAGCATTTGGTTGGAGTAACAGCACGAAACGCTGAGGTTGCCGGTTCAAGTCTTACCCGAGTCGTAAATTTTTTCAAATTATTTTTAAGTTTTAATACGTTATGTATTGAACTCTTTTGGTACCTGTTTTCCATTATGTTCTTGAAATGTTGTTTTCTAAACTTATTTTATATCCTTTTAATTAAACTAAAACCAATGAAAAACAAAAACTATAATGTATTACAGTTTGTAATTACGCAGGACGTAGGTACTGCCAAATCACGAAAGCTCAAAGGTCACAATATGTACTTCTCTACAATAGAAGTATTAGAGAAGTTTGACACTATCTCTCAATTGCTGTCACTGGGAAACTACGATAAGAAGACATTTCACTTAGGACTTGTGAGGTCGACTGTGACGCTGGAAGCCTTGTGAGGGCGGTAATAACTCGAGGTACTACATGCAGAGCTGACAAATATAATATATCTCGTAGAGAAGTGCTAAAAGGGTCTTTAAAATAAGTTTCCATTTTCAGCAAAATCTAAAAGCAATATTTGAATTGACGAGCTCAGTGGCATAAGTCGAATTCCGTGGAACAGAGTCTGACATGGGGAAACGGAACATCAGATATGATTTTCGTTTTAGGTACAGCCAGCACTTGTCTTGCATACAGGAAATGACCTAAGGACATAATATAGACATATAAATGCACTTGTACATATATACAGCGTAGCGCTTTTTTATTAAAAAGAAAAAGCAAAAAATAAGTCCTCTTTAGGTTTTCAGTATTTCCGTTTCCACGAAAAGATTTCAACGAAAATAGTTTTTCGTTAACAAAAGACTCCCTGGCCACTCGTTAAGCCAAGGTTACTGTCGTTAGTGGCTTAAAATATATTCTTTAAGAGAACGTATACCTCAAAGTCATTGAGATTTAATTCGTTGTGTTCTGTCTTTGTAAGATATGAATAGTGATAGTTTTTAACTGTTTAAATGACATACTTTTGAGTACATACAACGCTAAATTTGTTAACTTACTAATAATTACGACTATACATTTCGGATGCTTTACAGCAGTCGCATTCACTAGGTACCATATATGTATATTAAACTGTTAGTTATAAGTTTGATTTAAATGTGTACTTACGTAAACTGACTCAATTTAGTTTTCAATACAAAGTTTGATACAATACAAAATTGGATACAAAGCATAGACGTACTTTTTGGTCCAATACAAATAAGTATATTTGTTTTGTATGAGTAAACGTGACCAATATTTACCGCCTACTGCCTCACCTCACAAGAGAGTCAATATTGCAATACAGTAAGGCTTCGACAGTAATAATTCTATTGGTAGTATGTATATGTGGAGAATAGTAGAATTACTTTCAAAGTAATATTTTTAGGTGCGAACTTTAAATAGCCATCTTGGCCGAAAAATAACTGACTCGTGGAATAGGTCCATACTATGTAGTTCATTTGATGGTATAGGTGTTTAAATAAAATATTTCAACGGTTTAAAACGCGATATATATTAGTTAAACTTATTTGAAAATGATTTTTAACTTCGGCCCGACGTTTCGGACGCTTTGCAGCAGCCGTAGTCACGGGGAGGTCAGTCTTAAACCGCAGTCTTAACGTTAAGTGTTTTATTTAAACGTGTACTACTCGCGTAAACTATAGACTGTATAGGTGTTTTGTTATGTACTTTGTGCTATAAAACAATTTTGTCTTTGCTATAGTGTGAATATTTTACTGAATACAAAAAAATTAGCGTTAATAAAGAGAATTAAGTGTACATATACAAAAGGAACGACGTCATTTCAATATTTAGGAATTTAAAGACAATTATTATTACTAGATATAAAAATTGGAACGCATGATGTAAAGTGACAATAAAATCTAAGTTTACGGATTAAGTATTGACAGCTGTTGATACGATAATACATATGCGTAAGGGAAGCCGTTTCAACACCGTAACGCGTTACGTAAAAAGCAGTGTACCCATAATAACTTATCATTACAATCTATACTAATATATGAAGCAGAAGAGTGTGTTTGTGTGTATGTTGGAACGCGCTCATCTCAGAAACTACTGGTTCGAATTTAAAAATTCTTTTTGTGTATTGGTTAGAGCATGTATCGAGGAAGGCTGCGAAAACGGTTCAAGAAACCCAAAAAATATGAAAGATTTATTTCTCTTCAAAGAATCCAAACAAATGTCCGCGACAATTTTAAGATTAATTTGCAAGAACGACGGGACGCGATCGACTGGGAGTAACAGCATAAATTCATAAAGATAATTTGAAGGTTTGCAAAAACAAATTTCGATGTCCAATATAACTATTCTACGCGGACGAATTCGCTGACACAGCTTGTAAGCTATAAAATACAGTTTCATTAACAATCTATATGTATTATGAGTTATAAGTTATACATGTACATTGTACACGTAACCTTAAGAACTACCTCACTTGAAGGCCATGCACAGATGTCACAAGGAAAACATCGTGACACTGCGTCACGTGTGATTCACATATTAAAATATGGTTTTAGTAATGACTACTATCTCGTTCGTCTAATGGTAAGTACTAACTGGAGATCGTTGTACCGGATTCTAGCCCAGGTTGGCCCAAATGTTATTAGGAATATTGTTGGTACGAGCTCGGACTATGGAGGTAGGTTATAACATCCCTGTGCTGTGATGAGTATGTTAAGACGTCGGTTCTGCTTATCATCACTAATTTAGAGGCATTGCAGCAGGCTGGTGGTCTCTTAGACTTGTCTCCATTAATAAGTTAATGTTGGTATGAATATACTTTTCAAGCAATTTATTTAAAATAAGTGTTCTGGTATTCTCATATCTAGCCGTCTTAACATTTGTACCAGGTCGAGAGATAACAACGCGAACCACTAGCAAATAACAACACAGGTCGTTAGCGGGCCCTTGTCAATTGCTTTTACAAACGACTCGGAGATACAAAGTTAACAAAATTCCTAGAAAAAACTCAAAGACACTAAATGTAGGTTTCCAGAACCGAACGGACATTTATGAAGAAATTGGGAATACAAGAGACTTAATTTAGTACCTACCGAAATTTGTGTCTTCTTATTTTGTTTAATATCTTTAACGGTATTAACATTGTTGATAATCTATTTATATAATGTATATGTTTTCATAACGCTATACATTAGACGGACTGCTTTTATTAAGATATTAATAGTAAAAGTATTTAAAAATCCCTGTATCATACAGATATAAATAAAATATTAACTTAATTTATTCCTTCATACATAAATTGACCAGTCATTCTCGTCATAACAAGGTAACACTAAAATTACCGGTTTATTTACCATCTCCAAATATATATGCAAACTCCATACCCACTTACAAAACCTTATTAGGCAATCGTAATTAGATTAAAATAGATGCATTGATTTCTGATCTTTTTTTTGCTTTCCGTATTAGGTAGTAGGTATTTTTGTATGATAAGGATTTTTTCTGAAGTAAAAAATAATTAAAAAAAAAATATTCTAAATTACTAATTATTGTTTTCTAAAAAGCTGTTTGAAGAAAAACTTACACGGCTTTATATATCGAAGATGGGACCAAAGAATTACAATAAATTTCCTGTCACGATGTTTGTCCGCTATGGACTCCTAAACAACTAAACCGATTTTAAATTAAATTGGCACAACGTGAGCAGTCTGGTCCTACTTGAGACATAGGATAGTTTAGATCTTAATTATAGTCGCAATTTTATTATATTGCAAATTATTTGTCTATAAATAATTCACAATTACAATGGATTGAGTAAGTAATCAATAGATGGCACTGCTATGGTAAACCGACAAACGTGTCATATAAGCTACAATTCAATAGATGAAATGATCTATATATGTCAAAACAACGTTTGCCGGATCAGCTAGTTGTAATATATATATGTAAAGGAAACTCGTAAACTTTCAGAAACCATGCATTAAGGTGAACCTTAAAATATCACTAGGTTTAGCAACAGGTGACATTTAGATAACAAAAGACGACATTTGTTGTGTTAAAGGTGAATCAAAAGTACTATATTAGTTATTAGTAATAGGTATTTTGAGTAATTTCGCGTTTTCGTGGTTTAATGGTTTATAACTATGTATGTATATACCTATCTACGCCGTAAGTCGATTTTTTAAATTACACTCTAATTTCAGACTTTGCAGCCTTTAATTATTTTGTAATAAGTTTTGGTATTGCTTTCTTTATTACAGACAAAGCGTATAGAATATTCACATTTATGTTGCCGATTGATGGATGTTTGATATAAGTGGTGGCTCTGTTTGGCGAATTGATCCCTTATATATATATATAAGGTATAAGTCGCCGACTCCTGTAATAACAGATAGATAATACAAAACTGCAGTGAACCGCAATTTAAATACTAGAGATGTTATATATAAAAGATTATATTTCGGCATAAAAACTAGTTATATAGACCACTGAGATTAGACATAGGTTCATTTTGTCAGGTACAACCGATCCCTGCGATGTCTATTTATAAACAACTGTAAATCAACATCTTTTCAAAGGGGCAGTGACGCAAACCTTCACGAGATCGTGATGAGGCAAATCCGTGCTTGACTCATCGCGTATGTCATCCGTTGCCTTTTACCAGAACTTCACGATATCACATTTCTGACTCGTGCTAAAAAGGTTATTCAAAATATACTTCTTAAGGAATAGAGGTGTTCCTTATATGTAAAATTAATAAAACAACATAACTGAAGGAGAAACCTCACTGTAATGCTACAAGCTGTACATATTTTATAGCCTAAAGTCCGTATATAATATTAAAAATCGACGTCTGGTTTTTGCACGGATTTTTTTGCGGTATTAACTAAACACCTTTGGTTCATTGAAAGTTAGTTTTAGTATCGGCCGCGAGAAGTTTTTAGTAAACGTAACAATTAGTTAAAACAATTTTTGTCCGGTGTAAACAAATGAATGAATAAAAAAATGTTGAAATGAAATTTCTAATAACTATAACATTTAACTAAAGTGGCAAATATTCTTACCAATAATAAGTAGCAACGTCGTCACCCAAAACCAGTGCATCCACCAATGCAGTGTCATGATGGTAGCGTGACGGGATCTCTTCTCAACGACCTGGAAAAAGCAATTTTAACGTTATTATTCCGTGACTTAACAGGATTTTGTTTCTATCTACAATATAAATTAAAGTTTTGAATAGTAGTGTAATGCAGTTACAATAATTATCGTTATTTGCAATAAATTCTTATAAAATGAGTATTATTGGAGCTTAACGAACGTATAAAATAAACTAAAAAGTAGAAAGAAGATTAGTATTTTGATTACATAGAATTTTGAAAATTGGGAAACAAAAAGACACCTTTCCTAAAATCGTCGTAGATATATAGAACGGAGCATGTTCTAATTGAAAAAAATTTAATTTTGTACCGAACCTGAGGACTAGCTTTCTACCCAGATGTCGGCAAGACCAAACATCAATTTAGTATAAAAAGCTTGCTTCTATACAACAGACAATGCATCACCTGGACTTTCATCTATTCGCTAAGGAAGCGCGGTAAACACTAAACAACAAGACAATACAAACACGGTGTAATTATAGTTAATTCTCAACCGTGAGCATCACGCGGCCCAATGTTAATTCGCTAATTACATTATAATGATTAGTTTAATAGATGTTAGTGTGTGGAAGAAAACTGATACGGCAAACAATGGATCTGCGTGCAATTAGCTATAATCTGAGAAGTTGCGAGTGGGGCCCGAATTATCCCATAGGGCCCCGAAGAATTGAATTAAAAATGTTATTTATAGAATTTCACACAAAGATAGTAAATGAAACAATATTTCACACAATATCTATCATCAACTAATACACTGAATATTATTAAATTATAATGCATACTTAATAGCTAAGCCCTTAGCGAAAACCATACAGATAGACAATGAATAGATAAAAAATTTTTTTAAACATTAATATAGTAACTGCCAATGATATTAAAGTATATTTTAAAGCAGAGTCCCGACGGCAGGGCCCGATAAATATGGCGGGTCTGTTTATATGATAAGGTATCATTCACAGACCCCTGTAAAAACACTAGATAAAATGACACAGTACTGCAATGAAGGGCAATTTAAATACATGGGGACCTTTTATATAATAAATAATATGTAGGTATAATTAAAAGGAAAGACGTATTTAATGTGTTTAACTTACGAGGTCAAATTAAAATATCTTTCTAAATACATATTTACTTGTATGTATTTCAAATAAATGTTGAAGAATAATACACTCAATGCAGATTATAATGATGCTAGCTAAAAGACAGAAACAGATAATAAATTATATGTTTATTGAATTTAAATTTTCAATACAAATAAACGAATCTCAACAATTATAGTAATAATAAGTATGCTAGTACATAATAAAAAATATTGTCACTAATAAACACATAATACTAAAAATGATAAAAAGGTTACCGTTATAATAAGTATACTTTTAGATAACTATAAATATTTAGCCCTTTGAGAGAGATAAGGTTTTTATACCAGCTGACGTTAAGATTCTTCGAAATATATTGACGTGAGTTAAGAGAACATTAGACGCGTAATGTCAAGCTGATTCGGACGCAAATAGCGGAAAATTACGACAAAAGACGCAAATGACTACGACCCCTTCAGGATATGAAGACGATTAATTCTGCGTTAACAACACACCATAGACAAAATGGCGGCAATTTGGATCCATCCATTCTTAAGTGTTATAAATTAGGTGTGGAACGATACTATCGTTTCCCATTAGATTTAAATATTTGGGATAAAAAATACTAAAAAAAAAACAATATATTTAAATAACACACTTTAACAGTATAAAACGCGATATATATTTGTTAAACTTATTTGAAAATTGTTTTTAACTACAGCCCGACGTTTCGAATGCTTTGCAGCAGCCATGGTCAGGGCAAGCATCTGAAACGTCGGGCCGTAGTTAAAAACAATTTTGAAATAAGTTTAACTAATATATATCGCGTTTTAAACCGTTAAAGTGGTTTTACTTAAATGTGTACTACTCACATAAGCCTACCGCACCCCGACGTTTTGAATGCTTTGCAGCAGCCGTGATCACGGCAAGCATCCGAAACATCGGGCCGTAGGAAAAAAACAACTTTCAAATAAGTTTAACTAATATACATCGCGTTTTAAACTGTTAGTGTTTTACTTAAAAGTGTACTACTCGCATGAGCTACAGACAATATTTAGTTAAGTACATTTAAAGTAGCTTGAAGATATTAGATTATAAATGTATTATTATAATGTGTAAACATTAATACACTTTACATAGTATCGCTTTAAATATTAGAGAAAGTATCAAGACCAGTTTAATAATACACGCTTATCTCGAAATTATAACAACGCAATTATGTTAAAATTATTATCAATCGGCGAAAGTGATATGGAAATCGCAACAGTTTCAAAATACTTTCCCTCTTATGTTTTAGAAAACGGCGAGACAACACGGAATCATCTGAAACCATATTGTCTTGTTAAACGGACCAAAACTGCAATCAAATATAGTGTAAGAGCTAGTTCAAAAAATAAAAAAATATATTTCTTATCTGTAATTTTTTGGGATCTAATTAAAAAAAAAAAAACAGTTTATCGACGAGGTCAAGGATTTGAATCTTGATTCAAGGGAATTTTAGATGCATTTTTATAATCCCCCCGCTATTATCGATAACCGCGTCAATTATAACGTAATACGTATATACGTATAGTCGATATCTAAGTGCTCAAAGCAGGTTTGGTGACTCTTAAATCCTCTCCGCTATGAGAGGAACCTAGGACGAGTAGTGGCAAATAATTAGGCTTAAAACGACTAAGTTCTCTATAGATCAAAAAAGCGGCAGAAAAATTTCGTCGGCTCCCAAACTCGCGAATGGCGTTACGGTTTGATTGCCGCAATCAAAATACGTTTCCGTGTGCGGCCCGAGGCAAAATTTGCAAAAACGCGAATTAAATACGTATAACTTGAATGTATACATGAAGACCTGATATTCGAAAATGAGCACTCTTCACTGAAAAGGTTTTTCTACACGAACAAATACTTGAATGGATTTGTCGTTAGGCAAACGGTCATCTACTTCCACCTTCATCCACCCATCGATCTTCACATAGAGCTGTTTATTTTATCATTTCACTTTAGGATTTAGTTTGTTAGCATAAAGAACAAATTATTTTCTGTATCTTCGTGAGGTAAGGTCTGTCGAGAATAGTGTATTGTTGAAGTTGTAAGATTGTCATTTGTGCCTAAAAACAGCGGGGTAGATATCTCATGCAAGTCGATATTTCAAAAACTATGACGAATAAGAAAAGTTTTGGACTTTTGGAAATAAAAATAAACATAGATATCATTAAATAATTTTGAGGGCACAAATTACATTCAGGTTTTAAAATGGTGCCTTCTTTGGTAGTTTCGTAGTACTGTACCTTATATATAACTAGCTGTGTCGGCGACTTCGTGCGCGTAGAATAGTTTTTTTTGGCATCCAAAAACGACGGGACCCGAATTCATAAAGATGTAGAGGACATTTTTAAATTCGGGTCCCGTCGTTCTTGCAAGTTAATCTGAAATGATAGATATACATATAGTGTCGAGGACATTTTTTCAGATTATTTAAAGAGGAATCATTCCTCTAAACATATTTTGTTGGGTGTCTTGAACCGTTTTCGCAGCGTTTTGTTCATATTTCCCGCTGTATCTTCGCTTCTATTAGTCACAGCATTCGTCGATAAATGTTCCAACTAACGCAAAAATAATTTTTCAATTCGAACCAGTAGTTCTTGAGATTAGCGCGTTTAAACACACAAACAAACGTACCAGCTTTATACATATATTAGTATAAGTATAGATAGAATCTTAAAAACGGCTGAGCTAAACGTCCTCAATAGATTAGAGCTTCGTATACAAGATTGTATCTCTGGCATTCTTTAAGCTACGAGCTGTACCGTAATCTTAAAAGGGTACAATAAGTCTCAAAGGACTCTTGCAAAGGGGGATCATTTCTAGACTTAAGCGCTCCGAGTATCGGGAACATCTATAGAGGCAAGATTGCGACATGGAGTTTTAGGCTTTGTGAAGGCATTTGTAAGGACCATCAGAGAACATGTACGAGCAAGATTCTACATGCTTAGTAGACGATTACAAAGCACATAGTATCTTGCCGTACTACATAAGGGATTTTGCGATATAGAATTTCTTTCCACACAGGTAATAATGATTAAGATATGAAAAAGAAAAATCTTGTGAGACGAAGTGTGAACGAAAGTGAGACGGTGTACAACAACATATTTCATGTTATATTATCAAGCACGTAATATTTCGAGGGTTAAGATGGAGTGAACATTTTCAAAAAATCGCATTACTTAAATTTGTTTTTAGTTATAGCAACCAAAAACTCAAATTTTCAAATGTATACGGTTCTTTAGGTAAAGCCGAATGACAAACTGGCACTGACGTCTCAGTATAAAGATCCCCTTTTTACACTCTGGGTACGGAGCCCTAAAAACAATTAAATTTTTGGTTCATAAAACTTTCTCACGTACCATCAATACTATACATTGAAAAAATATTATTTCGCGCTGTAGTTCAACGTAATAGATGTTACAAAATACATAAAACTCATAAAGATCAAGTAATGTAATATCAAATAAATACAGTTACTATCTGTGCCTGTAGTGTGTATAACTAAGTCCGAAGTATTATACTCTACCCTTGTTATTAAAATAAGGTAGCTAGTTTACACAATTTGTTTTTAATCGATACAGTCATTAAGGAGTGTACCTACCGACTAATAAGGTAAACTCGAATATTTTCTTTGTGAATATTCGTCCTTAAAAACATGTGAAATACAATTATTATAAACGTTATAAGACAGAACCTTTTTAAGGACATTGAGACATCTGGCAACCCCGAATGATCCGTTTACATTTGAAATTCAATAAGGCTTTATTTCGGTTCTAGTTGTACGTTTTGTCTAAGAGTGTCCCCAAGTACAGTTCAACGACACCTTTTAAAAGCTAGCAAATTG